TTTCTCTATGTAGCACTGGCTGTCCTGGTAACTCTCTAGATAGATTGGGCTGGCCTCAAATTCACAGAGATTCCCCTTGCCTCTGCCTCCTGAATGCTGAGATTTAAGGTGTGTGCCACCACCGCCCAGCGATGCTATTGTTTTATGGCACTGGAATTAAATTCGGGGCATGGAATATACTAGACAAACACTCTACCTTATCCACAGCACCTTTTTACTTTTTTATTTTGTTCTGTTCTGAGACAGGCTGTCATGTATCCAAGGCTAACCTCAAACTCACCGTGTAACTGAGAATAACCTTGAACTTCTGACTGTCTTGTCTTTGCTGTCTGAGTGCTGGATGACAAGTGTGTGTCAATGACATCCATTTGTGTGGTGCCAGGCCTCATGCATGCTAGACCAACACTCTACCAACCAAGCTACATCCTAACTCCCCCTTTTACCTTCATTTTCAGACGTTAAATATTGCAGGCTGGACTCAAACTTGTGACCCTCTTGCCTGAGATTACAGGTCTGTGCCACCCATGCCTGGCTTCTTAGATGCTGATCAAAACGATTTAACCACAGAATAGAAGAGGAGAGGTTTGGACTAGAATCCATACTGATTCGTGCACAAGCCCAGGCACGCACACATGCTTGCACACACCCAGGCATGCACATGCACACACCGGTATTTGAGAAATGGAGGAAAATAATCTGGAGACAGTGAGACTAGAGAAGAGGGAACAAACACAAGAAGGTCTGCATCTGCGATCCCAAGGCACAGAACTGTAGTGGGATCCGTAGAGACAAATGGCTTTGCTGTTCTGGCTAGGTTCGAACTGGAAAGGTGAACTTATAGAGCACTCCTTGCAACACTGCTCCCGTGTGGAAAAAAGTAATAACTCCCATGGGCCAATAAGAGGGGTGAGAGCCATGGTGTCCTCCATGCCGTGACACACCGTGTCACCATGGATAAAGGGATGTTCGGCCCACATAGCACCAGAGCTACTGAGCTGCATGCATCCCTGCTTAGGGCCCCGTGGCCTCCCCTGTGTTGAGCGTGGGTTACTCCATTGCAGGGATGTCATGGGGTGGGTAAGGCTACACACACCAGGAGTACTTGTCAAAGCTGTACCACTGTCATGAAAAGTGCAGAGTAGTCGTTTTCTTTAATGACAACCTCAAAAGTTCAGAGCTGAGCATGGTGGTGTATGCCTGTAATCCCAGCACTCAGGAGAACCACAAGTTGAGGCTACCCTGGTCTATATAGTGGAGCGCTGTCTTAGAAAAATCTCCCAAAATATGACTCCCCATAAAATGAGAAGTGTTTTTGTAATTTCCATTCAGAGTCAACCAAATATTTCTGGCATAATAAAAACAATAAAAACAGTGGCATACTATGCAACACGACAAAGAGCCAGGCAAGTCTGTGTGCAATGCGCTGAAAATGTCCCCAAGGTGAGTCACATAAAGAACTGTGCATCCACTGTGCTCTCGTCTGCTTCAAACAGTGCGAGTGTGTGAAGACCAGGGTGTGCACCCCACTCTTAAACTAAAGAATGGGTCTGGGCGAGAGCGCTCCCCTCCCTCCAACCCCCAACTCCCTCCTCCTCTTTCCTTTCTTTCCTCCCCCCTCCCTCCCTTCTTTGTGTCTTGACCTGTGTACCAGGCTAACCTGGAGTACAATCCTCCTTCCCCCGTGTTAGTATTCAAGCATCTGTACTGGCCCGTCCTTGTGATTCTGACAGGACACGCCCTCAGCTGCAGCCACTAAGAGCACCACCTGTGCACATTCACTACGTTCCTTTTAAAAGGGCCCTGTCCGCCTCTCATCCTTTTCTTTCTCTCTCTTTCTCTCTTTGTCTCTGCCTCTCTCCGGTCTCTTCTGCTAATCCAGTCTCCCCTCTCCCCTCCCCCCTTTCCCATCCACTTTCCCCCAATTTAAAAACAAAACAAAAAACCCTCCACATGCGCTCTGTTGCATGGCATCTTTCTCTTGCATGCTTCTTTTTAAAATTACAACACTCAGGCTTCTGAGTGCTGTGATTACAGGCATGTGCCACCACCCACAGTATGAGATTTGCATTGTCTTCATGTCCATACCATCTTAAATGTGTCTGGTTGGATCTCATCTCAAAAGCTAAGCAGAATTGAGCCTAGTTATTAGTTTAACAGGTGAACTTTCGTTTTTAACTTCTAGGTTTTTTTTTTTTTAAAGTAATCTTTATCACTGAGATCAACAAATGATATAGTTTCAAAATTTTTACATGGAAAGAAAAATGTAAGAAAGGAACTGTAACTAAATTAGCTATTACATGTGGGTCCTCATGAGAAAATGAAGTCATTAAAAAGTAAACAGAAAGCAAAAATAGACTTTTCAAGAAAAACAACTCGAGTCAAACCTGTAGGCTGGGGAGATGGCTCTATGGGTACAGTGCTCAGTGTAGAAGCATGCGGGACCTGAGCTTGGATCACAAGCTCACATGTAAAAAGGCAGGTGTGACAGGTGCTTTCCTGTTACCATAGAGACAAGAATGGGGACTGGAGGATGGTGGGGTTTACTGACTGTGCCTAACTGCACGGGATGGGGGGGGCTAGGTTCAGAGGGAAACTGTGATTGAAGAGCTTTTAGAGGACAGCTTGTACCTACCTCAGCCTCCACTATATGCATGCATATGCACACACACATACACACACACACACACACACACACACACACACACACACACACACACGAGAGTCCTGGAAAACAAGGTTGAACAAGCTTCACGAAACTGAACCGGCTTCCTGTGGCAGTGACTGGCAGCTGCCACACCCGAGGTCACTGTGACTTCCACGCTATGACACTCTGTGACAGAGTGTCCCTGCCTCTCTAGAACTCGACTTAGCCAGTCAAGTCACCCAGGCCTTATCATTTTCTTTCTAATATAGGTGTTTCACTGCTCACTCACTGAGCCTAACAGATGGAAGGAAAGTTGGTTGCCAGCACCTGAAAACAGGAAACCCAAGGGCAGCCCCTCCAGCTCCCTGTGAGCTGATGATGTAACAAGGTTTTCAAACTCACCTTCATCCCCAAACAAAACTGAAGCAGGAGAGACAGACAGAGAAAATGACAGGGACGTGGAAAGGGAAGCAAAGGCAGGAGACAAGAAAATGTCCGTGGTCCTGGGGCCTGGCTTGCTGACTTCAAGAAACTGAACTTCTTTGGTGAAGTCACTATTTGGTGAGACAGTCCCTGCTGCCCACAGACATCTCACACAAAGGTGTTGGAGACAACAAACAAGCTGTGCCTACTTAGGGCTGGAATGATACATGAATTCCTACCCAGGTCAAGGGTAAATAAAATGCTTATGTAAGAACAAAGGGGCACAGAAGCTTGAACACATCCCTGCTCTTCCCTAAGCCTGAACAGTGCTTGTTAGAGACCCACCTCACAGCTCTGTTCACTGAGGGAAATGTTTTATTTATACTCTTGTTACAAGCTACACTCTGGGCAGCGTTGAAAAGCAGTGTTTGTGTGTGTGTGTGTGTGTGTGTGTGTGTGTGTGTGTGTGTGTGTGTGTGTTTAGGACTGGAGAGACAGCTCAGTGCTTTAGAGCACTTGTTGCTTTTTCAGTGGACCAGGGTTCAATTCCCAGCATCTATATGGCAGCTTATAATCATAACTCCAGTTTCAGGGAATCTAGCACCCTTTTCTGACACTCATGGGCACTAAGCATGCACATGGCATACACATACATGTAGGCAAAGCAGTTATATATACAAAATTAAATAAATCCAAAGTATGTTTTGAAAATAAGTGTGTGTGTGTGTGTGTGTGTGTGTGTGTGTGTGTGTGTGTGTGTATCTGCTGGGGTTGGGGGTGGGTGGCATATTTTTAGCAAACCTCAGAGGTGCAAGTTGAAAACCACAAAGATCCAATGTAAACCCACTGTAAAGACACCTAAGTTTGACTCTCACCCAGACGGCCACAGCCATGCTTGGGTGTGTCTCGCTGCTTCCCTGAGTGCCTCTCTCCATTAACCCCTGTGCTTAATGTCTATGTTAGAAATGCTCTTTACTTAATCTCCACCCATTTTATACTGGCTGTCCCTGAATGAAGCCACACACCCTGGTTTTGTCTGGGTGGAGGTCCCTAGGAGACAGAAAACTCTTGAGGCTGCTGTGGGACATGGATGGGAGCTGTGTTTCTGTCTCTGTTGTCCATGATGAAAACCTTTCCTTCCCATATTAACTTCATTTACTGATTCATGGTCCATTTCTGTCCCAGAGGCCAGAAGTCCCCCCCCTTACCTTCTTGGTGCCTTGATGACTGCAAGGCACAAGGCAGGCACCTAACCCATACGTCTGGTCATCCTCCTGTATTCAGGCTCGGTGGATGGAGCTGGCTTCAGGTCTAACAGATATGATACCACCTTGCCTGGTGTTGTCGTCTCAGAGGTCAGTGCATTTCAAGTGCCAAGTGACATTCACAACATCCACCTTCAAGCTCTGGGCCAACAACCTGGGTCAAATGAGGCCTGGGGACAGGAGTGTGACATGGCACTCCAGGTGGGGAACACACCCCCTTCCCCAGTCCTAGATCCTCTTACTCTTGTGGATTAAGAGGTACATTCCCCAAGCCAGCCTAGCATGCCTGAGCTCCTTAACCCAGAAACAGAGCGGTGACCCCAGAGGCCGGCTGCTGTGAGCAGGCTGCCCCACAAGAGCTACACGGGGAATGGTGTGTGTGTGTGTGTGTGTGTGTGTGTGTGTGTGTGTGTGTGTGCGCGCTCGCTCCTGCCTTCCCCATGGATGACGCTGACATGATTATTAATCTACATTCCCAGATCATTCTTCAGCAAATCTAAGATGCCTGAGTATATTAAATAGGTATTAAACCTCCTATGAATATTTACAAAGAAATCCATACTCAGTTCCCTTTCCTATACCTAGAAGGAAATATAAAATAATAAACTATATTTAAAAACAGAAGCACAAGATTTCAGAGTAAGCAGGTAGAACACAACACTCGAGGGCTTGCAAGTTTTTATTCTCCCTGACATCTTTTGACATTTTATTAACAAACGATAAACATGACAGGAAATTATTTGGTTTCATATACTTTTCAAAAGTACTAAGAAAGTAGTTGGTTTTTTTTTTTTAATAAAAAATACATTAGAAGTTCATAAAAAGTGAAAGTGTCATTATACAGAAATAAGAAATCAAAGACTGACATACCTTCAAACAAATTCTACTCAAATAATAGTTATCCACGTTTCTGAGAAAACTTATGTATTTCTTTATTCTGTGGTGATGGAATCCAGGGCTTTGCACTTGTTAGGCAAACTCTGCTATGGTCCAGCCTTCGGGGAAACTTTTCCCAGGCTTGTCCACAAGACAGTGGTCTTACCCCTTCAGTTCTTCAGTAGAAAGGCAGAAATAGGAAGAGAATCGTGGGGAACTGAGGCCAGCAGGATAGAGCCTGACCTCGGACACCTGCTGTGAGTTGTTCCAGGCAGGGTGGGTTGTTAAGGACAATCAAGAGGACTAGGAGTGGAGAAGATGTAAGACAATGGGCTGCTCTCCACCTTCCCTGATGTGTGCCCAGAGATCCCCCCACAAGGCAGAAGAAAACATCTTAGTCTTTTAAATGCAGCTTCTCGGCAAAAGACTAAACTCTGTCTTAGTCTTTTAAATGCAGCTCCTCAGCAAGCATCACCTGGTAGGGAAGAGAAAACACATATGTTTAATTCAAACAAAAAAATTTTTAAAAATGTAATGCTTTTTACATTTCCAAAATATAAGACTGACCAAACCCTCAGGCTGGGCTGAACAATCCAGAGACCTGAGCAGTAGCCTAGGGGTCTGATGGCAGGTGCCCTTGTCCCCTATGTCTTTCCTCTTCCCTGTGGTGCCTTGAGGTAAACTCTGTGAGGGTCTGTTGCCTTCAGGATCTGCCTTGTGATGCTCAGAAACACTAGGCCTCACTATTGCTCTGGGGACACACAGGTCTTCCTAAATATCTGCTCCTTGATATGTGAGGAGGCAACACTTGCCTCGGAGAGCAGGGGTTTGTTAGGCAGCAATGGGCAGAGATGAGATCTCAGCATCATGTAAACTCTTTAAAAACCACCTAACGATTGCCCATCATATAATCAGTGTTTATCTGGAGATGCTATGTACTTTTAATTCGTAGGGAAGTCACCATCGTGTGTAAGAAGCACTTGCTACCCTGTCCCCTGCAAGCAGTAACAAATGTCAAACCCTTCACAGCCCGCCCTGGGCGCTCACTCCTTGCTCACCTTCAGCTGGGGTTCCGGACCCTAGTCATGTACTTGTCAGGCTCGGCAGCACTCATTACTGTGGTATAGATTGTATAGCTGAAATAACAAGGCCAATTCTTAAGTGTGTATCGCCTTCCCATATGATGCCCTTCCCATCTCTTGGTACTCAGGATAAGAAGACAGCCAGGCTGCACCTGGAGGGGGATGTCTCCTGAGAACCAGCCTATCCCTTTAAGAGTCAAAGACTTCTTCAGAGTCCCTGCAGAACCCGAATGGGATAGAATGTCACCAGGGGGACCTACTTTAGACTTTCCCTGATTCTTCCTCTATTTAACCTAACCAATGGCCATCTTCTGGAAGACCAGCTCAGACTCATGACCCCTTATTTGTTCCTCTTCCCAGCAAGCTGATTGGCACATCTTTTCATCTTCCCTCAATGTGCATCTATTTAACTGACATTAGGACAGACAGCTGAGCTAACCCTAACCCTCTAAAATGAGGCTGCTAGTGCCAGAGCTTTTGGTCTGAAATTCGGGTTACCTGGTTACAGAAACATTTGTTCTAGGGGAAAATGAAGAGGCTGTCCTGAACATGAACTTACTTGTTATAAACTGGAAACACAGATAAAACCTGCATATGAAAATATCATATTATGAAAATATTAAAAAGTAGAAGAGACACATGTAGAATACATACAAGGAGACTATAACCACTGGCCCTGCGAGATGGCTTATCTGGTAAAGGGGCTTGGTGCCAAGCCTAATGACCTGAGTTCAATCCCTGGGACCCACATGGTAGAAGGAGAAAATCAACTCCCATAAGTTGTCCTCTAAGCTCCTTGTGTATGGTATGGCATGATTGTGGGCGTACACACACACACACACACACACACACTGAATAAATGCTTGTAAAAAAAAGTATAACCATTCAACATTTTCACATATCTCAGGATGCTTGTTATAGATTTTTGAATCTTTATTCTCTCTCTTTTTTAAATTTATTTATTTATTTATTTATATTTCATGTGCATTGGTGTTTTGCCTATATATATATATATATATATATGTATATATATATATATATATCTGTGTGAGAGCGTTAGATTCCATGGAACTGGAGTTACAGCTGTGAGCTGCCATGTGAGTGCTGGGAATTGAACCTGGGTCCCCTGGAAGAGCAGTCACTGCTCATAATAGCTGAACCATCTCTCCATCTCCCATTCTTCCTGTTTTAAACAACAAACACATATTCTAACTGTGCTTATTTCTTTTATTATGAAGAGAAGCTTAAATAAAGATGGTTACACTACCCTATAGACCCAAACTCAGAAAATACGGAGTGGCTTTTAAAATGTTTTCAATTTTTATGGAAATTTTACTGCAACATTTTCCTTGATTTCAAGCAGCTTTCTTCATACTCTTAGGACAACAACAGCCTAGAGAAGGTGAGCATGGAGTGGAGTAGAGAAGGTGAGCATGGAGCAGAGTCATGGAGCAGAGTTACCTGGAAAAGGGCCTCCAGGCTGATGTGTGCTTGTCCTGTGGCATTTAGGGCTTTGATGGCTGGTGTTCTGCAAGGAAAATGACCCTCATCAGATGCCATTTTGAGAGGCACAGTGCAAGGCCCAGTCCCTTCCAAGTAGATTCTGGCACCCAACCTTCTTTCCCAAGTCATCTGATTCTTTCAGCTGACCTCCCTCCTTCTATCCCATGTGCTCAAGAGAATCAGGAAATTGCTGCAGAAATCAGCTATTGCCAAACCCATGGGGGAATAGAGATTTGTGAGATATACTACTTCCTGTAACCAAATGACTGGCATTTCCACATTAGAAAGGGCAACACAAGCCCTTGTATCAGCAGGGCAACTGACTGATTGATTTATGGGAAATGATATCCTTCCAAATAAAGGCTTATAGCAGTAGCCCATTATTTAGCCCTTTCCATTCACTTTCAGGTACAGGGAAAAATGACCCTAGTAGCCCCCACAGAGTCATTGCTAGGGTTCATGATGGAATGCGGGGCTCCTCGACCCTTCCAGCCTCCACCCAACTACCAAGAGGTCCTCCCCACTGTTCCCCTCCACACCCTGTACTCTCTACCCTTCCAGACCCTGGTGAGGGGCAGGTGTATTTTCTGGAAGGAGATGGCACCCATAGGCCCCTATTGTAGGAAGGGGACAGTCTCCTGACCATGGGAAAATATTGGAAGCCTACCTACAGGGCTGGATATGGAGGCTCATGGCTGAGGCAAGGGGATTACTCTGAATTTGTGGTTAGTCTAGGTTTTAAAGTGAGTTCCATATTAGCCTGGGCTGCAGTGTAAGACTGTATCAATGAAACAATAAAACACAAACAAAATTAGTCTACCTTCGGTCATCCCTCTTGGGTACAGGCTTCCAATGATCATAATTTGTCTCAACTCGGAACCACCTGCAATAGAGTGTGTCAGCTCACCTTATCCAGGGACATTTAGAAGAAATATTAAAAATAGCTTCTACTTCAGCAAATAAAGGTTTGGTAAAGAGACTGCAATTCTACTCACGCTCCACTCAGAGGGTCAAGGGGCCAAATGTCCGCTGGGCCACCTCTGTCCCGGGTGATGACCACCCCCTCTGAGGGCGAGGTACCCCCAACAATGTAGTAAACATCAGCGATGAGGGGCGTCTTGGCCAGAGTGTAAACGGCGGCTTCAAAGTTTTCTGAGTCACTCAGGGTCTGAACAAAAAGACAAACCAGGATTGGCAACATATCCAAGGGAGAGGCCCGCGTGGCAGGACACACACTGGAAAGTACAGCTTCCTGATGCTAAGCCGTGACTGTACCCTGTATCTCCTGGCTTTTCCTGTGGTCGCTGGGGCTCCTGAGAGGAACCCTGATAAACCCCTCAGACAGCCAACAGCAGCAGGACAGAACTGTCAGCTAGTCCTAGAGTTGGCTCCCCCAGTGTTGGCGGCACGATTTTTGACCAATCACATCTCCCCATTCATTTGTTCTTTCCACAGTCACTGTTGATTCACTGCTCTGCACGAGGCCATGTGCTGGAGGGGTGGGGTGGGGGGCAGCGGGACCACGGGCACACCTCATTCTTGCTCTCAGCAAATTTTCCAAGGACACAAAGACATAACCAAGCAATAGTGGCACCATGAAATAATGATGGAAACCACAAGGGACCCGTCCTCTCCTAGAGCACAGTAGCTCAGGTAGCAGGAGACAAACAGGACTCACTGTGATGGTGGCTACAGGGTTTGGAGTGGATGTGGAACTGAGTTCCAGGTCAATGGACTCAACTGGCAAAGGCCTGGGATAGAGAAATGGCACGTGGCATTGGATGAGGAGCCAGACCAGTCTGTGGAGGCATGCAAAGATCTGAGGCTCGCACAGTGGAGAGGATCACTCCCCAGCTCCCTGCATCCTTCATGCCCCTTCTCTAGACTCACCCCGCCATGGGGACCTCCCGGCCCCTCCGCCTTCACAATCACTCTTGTCACTTTGAGAGAAAGACACAGTTACAGTCCTACCTAGGCACACAGACATATGGGGCTAGGAGAGGGGTCAATGAAAGGGCAATTCAAAAGCGAGTGTCCCCAAAGGTTATATGACAAGGCCCTGGCAAGGCCTTGTATGAGATGAGATATTTTTATTATTTTATTTACATTTATTTCATGTGTGTCTTCTCTGACCCTTCTAAGTCTCCCTTCACCTCTTCTTCATTCCCCTGTTCTTCCTTTATAGCAGCCTCTGTACAACTCAGAGCCAGGTCGCCCCGACTCTTGTCTCTACATCACTGACTAAAATCTGCCCTTGTCATTGTTAGTCAGTACCTAGTTTTTTCATTAATGTTTACTATGGAAAAACAGAAACACTGGAAAACATTGCTTATTCTTCTTCTTGGGGGAAAACATCAATCCTGTTAAGGGACACACAGCCCTGCAGCATGGCCCCTCTGTCTAGATGAGCTTGGGTGAGGCGTACTCAGCGCTAGTACTCACTTTGCGGATAAGCCAGCTGATCGGAGAGTGTCCCAGAGAAAGTGCAGCGATGGCATTCTCCCACCACCAGCCTTTATCTGTGTGTGCAAAGAAGTGGCTCAGGGTCCGAACACCATTCACATTAAAAAACAATTAAGTAAAACAACGTTTATTTCCGCATTCACTTCTATTGTGTGTTATGTGTGTGCACCCCAGCACGTATTTGAGAGTCAGAGGACAGCCCACAGGAGTCAGTTTTCACCTTCCTCTATGTGGGTCCTGGGGATCAAACTCAGATCCTGGGATCTACTAAGTCATCTGGCTGGCCCTGGGCCAGAGAGTCAACCAATCATAAAAACATCTACATACAAGTCAAAGTAGTACACATATATACAGTAATAAACAAAAAATGCAGATATTCACTGACTTCTCCTTTTATTTTTTGAGACAAGACCGTCTTTTGCAGCCCAAGGCAGACTTCCAATGCGATACTCCTCTGCCTCAGCCTCCAGAGAGTTGGGATAAAGATGTGTGCCATCATGCCAAGCTTCCCTCAGGTTTTGAAAACAGAATCTTTTCTACCTGATTCAATAGTGATTGTGTTAGATAAAATCATTCTACCAATAAGTATCGTAGGCATTCCAGTCGTGGAGGCAAAAGGCAAGCGGATCTCTGTGAGTTCGAGGCCAGCCTGGTCTATAAGAGCTAGTTCCAGGACAGACTCCAAAGCCACAGAGAAACCCTGTCTTGAAAAATAAACAAACAAAAATATTGTCTTAGGCAAAATTAAATTCTGTTCTTTTCAAGGGAGGCTATTTGACAAATATTGGGAAGAATGTGGTGAACTTTGTCTTTCTGATGTACCTTTAATAAGTTTAATAAGTTTAAATGTGACTGCATTTCATGAAACTTGTATGTTACAGACTAACTCAGTTACTTTAAATTGCTCATATTCCAATAATCAGTTTAACTAACATCTTAATTTATAACATGATGGAGTCAAAGCCTGTTTAAATGAATACATACATTTGTAGACATCACACACATACCCACACATACACAACCTCTTAACATTGTCACGCTATGGTTTGGATATGCTAGCTGAGACTCAGATTCGTTCATAACAGAAAATTGAGAAAGTGTTGAATAGATACATGGGTATAAAAACCTGAATACTGAGCCAGGAGATGGTGTCACACGCCTTTAATCCCAGCACTTGGGACACAGAGGCAGGTGGATCTCTAAGAGTGAGGCCAGCCTCAACTACATAGTGAGTTCCAGGACAGCCAGACCTGTCACAGGGAAACTCTCAAAAAACAAAACAAAACAAAAAATAACACCTACCCCCCACCCCAACACACACATGTATATATGAATAAGCCTATCCAAATGAAGTAATATCCAGGTCCTATCAGATGAAGAATGTTATGTGAACACTCTGCTCTTCCTTAGCAACAGGCCTCTGGAGAAAGAGTCAAGAGGTCACCTCTTCCAGGACTTCCCACATATTATGGAACTGAACAATGTCACCCTGAGGTCTGGATAATGACATGAAGTTGTCAGCAAACTGGCCCAGGTCCCAGGTAATCAGCCTGGGAAGCGTCTCTTCCACCTGCTAGCTATCATTTCATTTTGTAGCCTTTTTCCAACCCTGCATCATGTATGGTCCCTAGGATCAGTCCTGCCTGTCTCAGTGAGAAAATGTTTGAGTATGTGCATGTTAAATCCAAGAGTTTCACTAGGATTCCTGTGGGCGGGATCACGGACCTAGATGAATTCAATAGCTCCCTAGTGTTCCTCTGACTCTGTCTTAACACAGCAGAGTCCAGTCTCTACAGAGCAGCCAAAGATGGTAAAAAACTGTTTCAAAAGTGTGTATGTTGTGTGTGTGTGTGTGTGTGTGTGTGTGTGTGTGAGAGAGAGAGAGAGAGAGAGAGAGAGAGAGAGAGAGAGAGAGAGAGAAAGGGGGTGTCTGTTCACTCTTTGGCCTGAAACCCTCTTATGGCTTCTATTCTGGTTAACAGGGCTCATCATGGCCCTGTACATGGCCACAGTCTCCTCTACATCTCCAGTGTTCTTACTTCCTGCTGTAACTACACCAACTGTGTTTTTTTTTTTTTTTTTTTTTTTTATTTCTGGACTATTCCAATAGTAATAGCTATTGCCATAAGTACAATGACCATTCCATTTCTGAAATACACCAACAGTGACACTTGCCGTCTTTGTAGTTGCTGTCAGACCACGGAGATGACTTCCCCTTACCTCTGCAGACCTGAGATGACATGGGTCAGGCCTTCCCTGACCCTTGACCCTAGTAACAACCTAACCCCCATGCCTCTGCACCTTCCATCTGACCGTTCCTCACTCCTTCCTTTGGAGCCTCAGGTACCACTGAGGTCCCCCTCATTGCTTACAGGACTCTCTGTCTTCTCTCATGAGTGGAGTGGAAGTCACTGGAAGTTTCCTTCCACACATTCTGTTGGTTGAGAGTGAAGGAAGCACTTAGAAGACCTCAACAAGGGTTTGCTTTAAAATGCTCGGGCGTTTTTAAATTACCTCGTTCATCTCCAGAAACTGTAAACTTGTGTGGACTTTGACCTGTCCACAACCCTACATAGCCAACAAAAGTAGTCCCGGTGAATGCAACCTGAAATCAAGGAAAAAAAAAAAAGGCGTCATTTACTACCCAGCAGAGTGCAAACAGAAATCACTTAGTTCCCCTATACCTCCCTGAGTTGTTTGTTGAGACACTGCCTCACTATATAGGCCTGGCTAGCCTGGAACGTGCTATGTAGACCAGACTCACAGAGATCTACTTGCCTCTGCCTTCAGAGTTCCGGATTAAAAGTGTATGCCACCATACCCAGCTTCCTGGATTTTTCCCCCCTCAGAGATTTCAACATAACAGAGTGAAACTCTGAAACACATTCTAGAACAAGGGTTTGTAACCTTGTCCGGAGGGGGGTCCATGGACAGAATTCAGCAAATGAGATGGATGTGGGTAGGCTGTGCAGCTTTCCTTTCCCTAAACTAAAACCAAACTGCTTCTTTGTTTTGTTTTTCAAGACAGGGTTTCTCTGTGTAGCCCTGCCTATGCTGGAACTTGCTCTGTAGACCAGGCTGGCCTTGAACTCAGATATCCATCTGCATTACACCTGGCTCTCCAAACTGCTTTTTTTAGTGAATGTGCTTGGCAAAGCATGAGGTGATGGCTGTGACTGTGGTATTTTTCAGAGGACCTTGCTGGTACTTGGAGACGAGTGACAGTAGTTGCAGTTGACTTATATACCACCACCTAGGGTGACACTATGCACAGCAGGAGAGTGGATGCTAAGTCAGACTACTAAAAGAAAAACTTAAAAATATGATACTGAACTAGCAGATTTCACCATAACTCATTGTTTCTATCCCGTTGCATTCTGTGTGTCTATGAAACACTATTCACTCAGAAGACTTCCATTGGGAAGGTAGCAAATGGAGTGTGACTGGAAATGGTTAACACTACATTTATGAGGTCTGTGGAATTAAAGCAATTAAACCATTGGAATGGCTCATAGATAACAGCCAGATTAAAGTTCACACTTTCTAAATCACCCTCCATCCAGCTTTCATTTAACACTATATCATCACCGCAAACCAAGTTACAAGCTGCAGAGGTTGAGAGGCACCATCAGCAACGATCTTCAGGCTGTGTTCCTGGAAGCATCTAGAAGCATCCATATTACATAGTTTGTATTGTTTATAATGGCTAACCAGGGCTGGAGGGATAGCTCAGCCGTTAAAGGCTAGGCTCACAACCATAAATATAATGGCTAACCAATATTTTTAGATTTTGAAAAATTAAATAGACCCACAGTAATATTTTTATTTTGAAAACTTAATATTAAAGTTAAGCGTGGTGATGCATGCCTTGAATCCCAATACCCAGCAGGTAGATATCTTCAAGTTCAAGGCCAGTCTGGTCTACATAGTGAGTTTCAGGACAGCCAAGGCTACATAGAGAAACTCTGTTTCAAAATAACAAAACCAAGTCAAACTTAATATTATATTAATAACCTTGTTCACCAAGTTATTCAAATTTGCTTCATCTGACTGTGAAAAATAACTTAGTTGACAACTTTAAGGGAGAAGGCCTTAGTTTTCTCAATGATCTTTCCTCCTAGACTTTCTGTGTGCCTCCATGAAGGCTCCCTATCACCATCCCCAGGAGTGCAGTGGGAGTGCATTAGCCCCACAATTAAAACCCTAGGGTTGGTCCTGTGAGTAAAAGCATATACTGCTCTCACGAAGGACCCGACTTCAGGTCTCACACCCACATGGGCTGCTTTCACCTGCCTGGGACTCCACTGTACTCACACTCAGATACATATGCACACACAATTAAAAATAAAGAGCCTAAAGAGCCCAACAATGCAGTTCCAAAGAAACAACTGAAAAAAAAAAAAAAAACCAAACAAATAAAAAGACCACAAAGCTCTTTTAGGGCCTGGAGAGATGGTTCAGCAGTTAAGAGCACTTGCTGTTCTAACAAAGGATGTGAGTTCAGTTCCCAGCACCCATACCATGGCTCACAACCATCTGTAACTCCAGTTCCATGGAGTCTAACTCCCTCTTCTGGTCCCTGATGGCACTTGCACATACATGGTACACCTATGAACACCCAGGCCTGCAGGCATACACATAAATAACAAAATAAAAATAAATATCTTAAAAAAGAATTGTGTATTTGTATTATCACTGTTGCCACTTAAAATTGCTTTTCTGAAGTAAACAAACAAACAAGCAAAACGGTTGATAATGTCAAAGTAAATGAATGAAATTGAGAAAGGAGAAACTTCCATTAGATATTTGTGTATAGTTTGGATTTATCAGGTGACCAAACAAGTATTCAGTCAATATATTTCTATTATTTCTGAATCAAGCACAAAATGCAAAGACCAGAGAATATAAACCTCTTCCTTAAGGCCAAAACGTGACTTCTCAAGCTCCTTTCTGTTGCATGGCAACAGCACACACTTTATAGTCAATCAATATTGATTCATGCTACTCTCTAGATATTTCTAGTCATGTGAAAATAGTAAATATTAGGTTGTATGTACCACATGAGTGCCTGATGGCAGGAAGGTCAAAAGAGGCCCATAGATCCCTTGGAACTGGAATTATGGACAGGTTTCAGGTGCCATGTGAGTGCTGGGAACTGAACCCAGGTCTTGTGTAAGAGCAGCCAGTGCTCTTAACCACTAAGCCATGTTTGCAGCTCCAAGATTTAGCCGCTGGTTATCTAGACTTCCAATCTGCTTTACATCAAGAACTTCATTTGATCATAACTTCTATTTCGGAGAAGCAAATGTTAATGTCTTTGATCTGGAATTTGCAGAACAGGACTGAGTAATCCTCAATGGAAAGGAAGACAGAAGCACAATGCAAACCTATGACTACCCCACTTTAAAGCTGGGTGTCCCTGGGCACTGTGAAGCCCTTCCCTATCACAGAAGCCACCTGAACAGGGAGAGCAGTACAAGGTGAAGATTACACATAACCTTTGCAAGACTGATCACTCCCCCTGTGCTGGCTAGTCTTATGCCAACTTGATACGCAAACTAGTTATCTGAAAAGAGGGAACCTAAACTGAGCATAATGCCTCCATCAGACCCAACTGTAAGGCATTAGTGATTGATGAGGGAGGCTTCATTGCCCTGTGGGTGGTATCATCCCTGGGATGCTGGTCCTGGGTTCTATAAGAAAGCAGGCTGAGCAAGCCATTGGGAGCAAGCCAGTAAGCAGCATCCTCCATACCCTCTGCATCAGCTCCTGCCTCCAGGGTTCCTTCCCTGCTTAGATTCCTGTCCTGCCTTTGTTTGGGTGATGAACAGCAATGTAGAAGTGTAAGCTGCATAAAACCTTTCCTACCCAACTTGCTTTTTAGTCATGGTGTTTTGTTGCAGAAGTAGAAACCTTAAGAGACAACCCTAAAGAATGTGCCCAAAGAAAACTGGTCTCTTTAAGTGCATTCCTACCACCCCTCCCCAACAACGACTCATCCTTCTTCATTGACCTTAATTGATATAAATCTTTCCTGCTTTTGTTTTCCACAGGAAGTTAATGGTTTCAGGATTACTGTTAACCGGGGTGGGAGGCTGCATGCACCATGGTGTATGTATGGAGGTCAGAGGATGATTTCAATCAATCCTTGCCTTCCACCTCTTCCACCTAAAGATGCTCTCTTGTTCACCGTGGTCTGTGCAGGCCAGCTAGCCTCTCTCTCATGAACACTGGGAACACACAGACACCTGATACCAAGTCCAGCTTTGCCTGGTTTTGAAGATTCAGACTCTGTGCCTTGTGATCCACTGAGACAACTCCCCCAGCCTGGTGTTTGGCTCTTCCAGGGAGAAGTACCTAAGATGGAAGGCTCTGCAAATGGTTCCTATCCCAGATCAGAAGCCCTGCTGACCTCTGCATCTTGTGCACATGTGTGTACCTGCCCCCATCTCTGCATCTTGCTGTACCTGTCCCTGATCTCTGTATCCTGTGCACATGGGTGTACCTGCCCATTCTTTAGGAACTGCACGTCCACTGTCATCTTTCGCAAGGCATTTCCAAAAGGGTAGTCCAGGTTCCGGCCGTGGTAAATGTGGCCTTGGGAATCTTGGGCCACGATACTGGTGCAGAATCTGAGCAAAGGGAAAATCCCAACAAGAATGAAGACAACAGGAACAAAGAGTGAGATTTCTGTTTTTGAAACAAATCCTCAGAGCATCAGGTTTTCTTCCTTACTGTTGATATATATGCTATAATATGCTCTTGTACAAGGATATAGAACTTCAACTATGGATGGAAGACACAACCGGACACAATATATCTAGACCCTGCCATCGGCACACAAGATGCTGCTACAGATGAATCAGATCGGAGTTTAATCTTCCCTACAGCCTGTGGGTATGCTCAGCACAGCCAGACCTCTGAACTCTGCTTGCTGGTACATTACCTATTAACATGTTTTTCAAAGCTAACCCAAGTTGTCTTTTTCATATTATGCATTGTTAAGGCAAACACATACATGCACACACTTAAATTAAAAGGAACTCCAGAGCTGGGTGGTGGTGGCACATGCTTTTAATCCCCGCATTCGGGAGGCAGAGGCAGGTAGTTCTCTGTGAGTCTGAGGCCAGCCTGTTGTACACAGCTTGAGGCCAGAGAGGGCAACCTTCCTACAAAATAAATAATTAAATGAGCGAATAAAAAAAATCTTTTAAATAAAGTTTTCTGTACTACTTATTTTTTGTGACGTTTCACTGTTACTTTTATAATTAGGAGGGGGAAGACAGTAGTACCTCACTGCTTGGCTTTTTTAAAGAAGAAAGCTTGGTGTGATTTTTGACTCCTAAGGTTTCTGATCTTGACCTCATAGGTAACATGGTGAGTGGTTAAAGTCTGTGGGACTGCTCTCAAAGTTGGTATTTTCTAAGAGGTGGCAAGAGGACCACCCGGGGGACCACCATTGCCAAGTCTTTTTTGGGCATGTCCTGGAACTCACCATCTAGAGGAGGCTGGCCTCAAACTCACAGAGTCCTCCTGCCCCTGTGTCCCGAGTGCCAGGATTAAAGATGTACGCCACCATTTCCAGTGTACATGTCTTTAAATGTGGCTCCTCCCGCAGACGCACAGGGGATATGCCTGTTTCAGGAGAGGCACTGTGGGCAGTCTTGGAATTCACCAGCCACCAGAGAGCCGACAAGTGTTCCCTCTGAGGCTTGGTTTCTACATCACAAACCAGAAGATGCCACCTTCCCCCCAGGGCTGTGCTCCTAGGCCACCTGAGGCTACAAAGATTCAGTAGGGCATAGTTAGCTCACACAGCCTTCAGAAGCCAGGGCCCAGCATTTCCCACCTGACTCTGAGGTGCTTTACAAAGAAAACTAGACAGTTTAATAAATGCCTTTCCCTGAGACACAGGGCACAATTAACTTAGTTCCCTTTGACTTTAGCAGGCTAGAGTACACAGGAGTCTTCCCCTCAATGATGCTCTTTTGGGGCTGGAAAATTGCCAAAGAATAGATTGTTATTCCACAAACTTCCCTTCATTCATCAAAAAAACAAACAAACAAACAAACAAACAAAAACCCACAAAAAAAAACAAAAAAAACCCCTTTTGTTTGTTTGTTTTGTTTTTTTCTCTGTATTGCTTAGGAGCCTGTCCTGGAACTAGCTTTGTAGACCAGGCTGGCCTTGACATCACAGAGAGCCACCTGCCTCTGCCTACCGTGTGCTGGGACTAAAGGCATGTGCCACCAACGCCTGGGTTTAAAAAAAAAAAAATCTTATTTTACTTACTTATTTTTTGAGGGAAACAGGGTTTTTCTGTGTATCTCTGGCTGTCCTCGCTCTAGCTCTGTAGCCTAGTCTGGCCTTGAACTCAGAGATCTGCCTGCCTTGCGTGCTGGCACTAAAGGTGTACCCAACTGATGCCTGGCTGCCTTTCCTTCATCTTAAGGCAGCCAGGGGCTATTGGCATCCACTGGATGTCCACACAGGGTGGGAAATAGTAAGCGCGGCAGGCACTCAGGGGTCCACCTTGTCTTTATCTGTGTGGGAGCGGGGAGAGCGCATGTGCCACGGTGTGCTTCTGGAGGTCAGGGGACAAGCAATAGTAGTCAGTTCCCTCCTCCCACCTTGGCTCAGGGATTGAACTGAACCCCCCACTTTACTTTTTAGACAGCAGGCTCTCTCCTCTGAACTTGAAACCATGACCCTCCTCTCCTCTCCCACCCCAGTGATTGGGTTGCAGGCACATGAGGCCATACCCAACCGGGCATCTGAACTCTGGTCCACTCACTGCATCCGCCACAGGCACTCTTCTCAGCAGAGCCATGGTCCCACCCTCGAGCAGTCTGGAAAGTGGGACGCCCCCTACACTGATGGCAAGATAAAACGAAGTTTTGGGCAGAGTGGCTGTTTTCTCCCAGGAAGTTCACCTGACAGACACATGCTGCTCAGATTTCTCCAGGGACTCAGACCTAAGATGGTTTCCAAACTGCAGAGACTGTCTTGTTTTATCTCACAGCAAACATACCGCCTCCCACTCATTATGGGTGACAGTTTCGGACAGGTGACTTTAATCCACCCTACCATGAGGCACTTACGCAGAGGCCTCATAGGCCAGGTTGACCAAGATACCCTCGGCCAGGCTGAGGTTAAGGAAGTTGCATATGCCGTGGATCTCGTCAGTGAAGGGCTGGGGCAGGAAGCTCTCCACCTTGGACACCACCTCGCCGATCATCTCAAGTACCCACTGGGGAACCCTGTGGCTAGAAACGATAAAGCACGAAGCTTATGTCTCCTGCTCAGAGCACGCAGGGTGCAAGTGTGTGTGTGCTAGGGTAGAGGAACATAAACAGTCTAGATTTTTCCAGAACTGAAGCCCTGCACCCTGCTGTTCCATTCCCAGAGTCCAAAGCCGAGGGTCATAGAGTAATCCCAGCTACTCAGGAGGCTGAGGCAGGAGGTTCACAAGCAAGGCCAGCTTATGCTACACAGAGAGGCTTTAATTTTTTTTCTCCCAACATAATAATCTTATTAGTTATTTGGGAATTTCATACAATACACCCATATCACATTAGCTCCCCATTCCTCCAGGGTCCATCCTTTTCCTTGCATCCCTACCCCCTCCGCTGCCAAACACAAACAACAACAACAGCAAAACAAAAAACAAACAAACAAAAAAACCACCAAGTGCAATTTGTGTTGTCCATATACTCAACGGAGCAGGGTCAAACTCTCAGAAACTTTCAAAATTAAATTATAAGGGCGGAAATAACACCCAACAGCAGAGCGCTCGCCTCCATCCCCAGTGCCAAGCATTCCGAAGAAAAAGGGCAGCCAGGCTGGTCCAGGATGGGGAGGCTCATGGGCTCCATGCCCTACTCCGCAGTTTAGCCGACTGAGTGACACCTTGTGCATCGCTCTGACCCGGAAAATGTCTGGGAGACGCTCCTGCCACCAGAGACCCCCTAACTTAAGAGCCTAAACGGCCTTGCTGTGTCCACCCTGTGGTAGCTGCATGGACCAGTGGGGAGGGCACGGGTGCAGCACCAAGGGGTGGGCAGAGTCTGGCTGAAAGTTCACAGGACCTGTCCCGCGCTCACCCGATGACCTCCGCTACCGCGGCGCGCACGAACTCCGGGTCATAGTGCTGCAGCATCGGCAGCCAGCGCTGCTCCGGGGCCGCGTCCAGACTAACGTTAAAGAGTGGCGGAGCTCCGGGGACTCCAGCCGACAGCCAGGGCCCCGGCAGCAGCAGCAGAGCCAGTGCCAGGTGTGCCCCATGGCTCGCAGCTACGGTGGCTCGGGTGCCCATAGCTCGGACTCCTGAGGCCACCACACCGCCACCGAGCCTTTACCAGGTCCGGGAAGTGAAGGGGGCGGCATAGGGGCGGTGCTAGCACTGAAGGCGGAGCCTACCCTAGGTCGCCCCACCCGTCGCCAAGAACCCGAGCAGTGACACTGGCCTCCTGCCCTAGCTGGATCAAGCCTGCTTTTCACTCACAACTTGAGGCCTCATCACACACCTCCGTGGGCCAAGAGTGGGAGCTGTGGTGGTCCAGGGAGTTAAAGCCCTACTGTGATAGAAAGGCATCGTTGTCTGCTCACTCTGCATTTTCTCATTTTAAAGCTCTCTGAAGGGCAGAACTCCTTCTATTCAAAACCCCCAAGAAAAAGCAAAAATATAACCATCTGTGTGCTATTCTTTTTGCTGACTCCTATATATCAATACAAGCCAAATGACAACTCCTATTAACTCATATTTCACCGGTGACGGAGCTTAGAGGGAAGTCACCTGCTCTGGGCCACAGGCTGGGGAGCCTTTGCCTTCCTGTGTTGGGTTGTTTGAATCCAAAGTCTACCTTAGCAAATCTCCAACCCGAAGCTCTCTAGACTCCTCTAAAGTGTCCCCAGTATCCGAGAGACTAAATTTGTAAAGTCACCTTGGAGTCTTTATTTTTATTATTTTATTAATTTATTATTTTATGCCTGCATGTATTTTTGTGCACCTTTTGTGTGCCTAGTGCCTGAAGCAGTCAGATGAGGGCTTCAGATCCCATGGAACTGGAGTTGTAGATGGTTGTGAGCTGCTATGCGGGTGCTGGGAATCAAACCCAGGTCACCTCAGAGCCATCTCTCAGACACTACTGTTATCCTTTCTTACCCATCCTGCAGTAGGAGCCATCACTACCTCTGATTTGTCTACCTGTATGGCCTGTATGCCACTAAGCTGATGTTCTGAAGCAAATGCCCCATCTGCAGCAGAATAGCAAGCAGCTAGACACTGGGGGCCATTCCTTAGCCACACGCAGAAGTCATCACTCTTCTGCGATAGATAAATAACCCACAACTCAGGTCTGATAAGTCCTGGGATCGAGTTTCTGGAGGGAAGCTCCCTAGTTCAGGAACCCACAACCACATCAGGACCCGTCCCCTGCAATCACTGCTTCCCTCAAAGCAGAAGTATGTCTTTGAAGAAGAGATGAAGCAGCAACTTGCAAGAGAAGTAAGGATGTTATCAGAATCGAAAGGTCAAGGTTCCTTTGTCATGCAGGGAGAAGACTGTTCTCCAGTGTCTTTGCTGGGGTTTCTATTGCTGTGATGAAACACCATGGCCAAAAGCAAGTTGGGGAGGAAAGGGCTTACTTGGCTTACCCTTCCTCATTGTAGTCTATCAGTGAAGGGAGTCAGGGCAGGAACCCAGAGGCAGGAGCTGATGCAGAGACCATGGAGGGGTGCTGCTTACTGGCTTGTTCCTCATGGCTTGCTTATCCTGCTTTCCTATAGAAGCTAGGACCACCAACCCAGGGATGGCCACACCCACAAAGGGCTGGGCTGTGTATGGACATTTCCTGTCCTCACCGTCCAGACCCAAATAACCCCTCAGAGGCTTAATATTACTTATAAACGCTCAGCTGATAGCTCAGGCTTGTTACCAGCTAACTCTTACACTTAAATTAGCTCATATTTCTTATTTACCCCCTGCCACGTGGCTCATGGCTTATTACCTCATTTTCTACAGGTCCTACTCCCTCAGCAGTGGCTGGCATCTCCTTTGACTCTGCCTTCTTCTTCCCAGAGTCCTCTGTTTCTGGCTGTCCTGACTATACCTCTTGCCTGGCTACCGGCCTGTCAGCTTTTTATTAACCAATGAGAATAACACACATTCACAATGTATAGAAGGGTTGCTCCACAGCACGGAGCCCTCCTGCATCAATCACTAATTAAGAAATGCCCTACAGCCTTGCCTACAGCCCATCTTGTGGAGGTTCTCAGCTGAGGCTCCCTCCTCTCCAATGACTCTAGTTTGTGTCAACTGACAAAATTAGCTAGCACACCAAGGAAGGAGGTACTCTTGCTAAAGTTGCCACCTGTTTTCTTCTTGTTCATAGTAAAATGTGTGAGAAGAAAGAAACCCCATCAAGAGTGGATTTGGGAATGGTTTTGAAAAGTTCCAGGTCCAAACTTTATACAGGAACTTGGTTTATTACAGATATACTATATCCCACCTGTGGAGATATCTGCAGGAACTGACAAAAAGTAGCACCCAGGGGGCTGGAGATATGGCTCAGAGGTTGAGAGCACTAGCTCTTCTTCCAGAGGGTCCTGAGTTCAATTCTCAGCAACCACATGGTGGCTCACAACCATCTATAATGAGATCTGGTGCCCTCTTACGGCCTTCAGGCAGAACACTGTACATATAATAAATAAATAACTCTTAAAAAAACAAAAAAAGGAGCATCCAGGGGTTAAAGGTGCTTGTTGCTGTATTGTGAGGACCAGGGTTTAGATCTCAGCAACTGTGATGGGCAGCTCATAAAGGCCTGTAACTGCAGCTCCAAAGGGTCTAACATCTTTTGGCTTCCTTGGGCATATCCACATACATGTGAATATACATTCTCAAACACACATACACAAAAATAGATCTTTAAGAAAGAGTGTAAATTGGCCGGGCAGTGGTGGTGCATGCCTTTAATCCCAGCATTTGGAAGGCAGAAGCAGGTGATCTCTGTGAGTTTGAGACCAACCTGGTCTACAAGAGCTAGTTCCAGGACAGCCTCCAAAACCACAGAGAAACCCTGTCTCGAAAAACAAACAAACAAACAAACAAACAAACACAACAAAAAAACAAAACAAAAAAGGAAAGAGTGTAAAGCAATTAGAAACAAAGAAAAAGATTAAAAGCTCTAAAGAGTTACACTGAGTAACAAAAAAAGTGATTATCTCCCCTCCCCAATGGCCAATGAACTGCCTATTAAAAAATTCAATCACTTCACAGGTAAAAGTCTACAGTTTCGAAGTCTAGTAACGTTGTGTTGATACGGCTGCAGTAAACTAGGAACTCAGGCTTGTGTGTGGGGCTACAATAAAATTTAGTATTATCCAATATCAAGGAACCACAGACCTTCCAACCAAGGAATTCCATTTGTAGCAAAGACATCTGCAGTCCATTATCTAGTTTGGATAAAGGAAAAAGAAAACTCTAAGAACATGTACTCTTGATACATTCAAAAGTGCTTATTACTCATGGCTCTGTAGAGGGCATGAGGCCTTTTTGCTCACAGATAAGCACCAAGGAAACCAGGAATGTTAAGCACGCTTGTCTCTTCAACAGAAGGGATGTATACCCATTTTTACCCAGAAGTCTGGGAGAGGAGTTAAGAGCCTGGTGACTTTTGCTACCTGTAGGGCCATGCTACATCTGACTATTAGGTTAATCCCAGACTTTCTCTCCCTACACCTTTAGTTTCTCAGTGAATAGGACCCATCCGTATGGGAGATGTCACATATGCTTTAGAGCTTGGTGACCTACAGTATCTATATAACCAAGTTACCTTAAGCTTTATTGTGCACATGGGATTGAGATAGTTGTCACCAAAATTGTACTGTATTTAAATGCCTAAAGAACAAACTGGCCCTGTCAGGACTCTAGAAGTTTGAACCAGTACTGGTTACTGAGTCGTGCTGAACCGGATTCTTTCTTGCCTCACACAGATGGTTTCTCTATGGATCGTTCCCCTGCACATCACAGAGCATTTACCTGCATATTGTTTCTCTGTGTATCATTTCTTTGTAGACCGGACCGTAGCATTGGCAGAGATGCCCACAAAGTTGTAAACTGGAAACATGTAACTGCTTTTTGTCAGCAAAATAATAAATTATGAATGCTGAATAATGAATGCAACACTTAACAAAATGAAAAATGCATTTATGAAGAGGCTAATGCTGGGGCTGGGGAAGATGGCCCTGGCGGAAAAGCACCTGCTGTATAAGCATGAAGACCCAAGTTTGGATCCCAGAAGCCACATAAAAAGCCAGGCCTGTGATCCCAGTGTTGGGGGAGAAAGAGACCAAGGATCTTGGCACCCATGTAAAAAGCCAGGCCGGTGAAACCAGTACCTCGGAGGCAGAGACTGAGGATCCCAGACCTGTCCTCTTCAATTGCCTCTTGCTGAGATGGAGCTAAACTGCACACCTTGTTTATCAAATCAGTGAGCAAGCAACCCGGTCTCAGAAAGATGGTGGAAAGAGGAAGACATCTGATGTTGGCCTCTAGCCTCCATGAGCACACACCCCACATATAACACGGAAACTAATGCTGAATTACAGCCAGCACCAGTATAAATTGTTATTCTTTATGTAAAATTTTAAGATACTGAACAATACCATGCTGAACACATATACACACATGCTACAGGAATGGCAGACATCAACTCTGAGGTTAGCGGTTCTCTTGAGGGAGGAGTCATGGTGAGAACTTCATTTCCACTCTCAAATTCCTTTCCTTATAATTAATTTATTCCTGTTAAGACAGGCTATATAATACATAGCCCAGGCTGGCCCCAACTGCCTGCTCCTCCCGCCCGAGCTCTGTGTACTGGGATTGCAGGTGTGTAGGATGAGGCTAGTCTCTATGCTTTCATTCTTTAATAAGAACAACACAATATATAACAGAGTTGGTAAATGTTTCATTGTGTTCTATATTTAAAATAACAGTTACAAAATGTTTTAGTCTTTCAAAAAAAAAGGAAGGTTCAAGTGTCCTTGAAACAGGAAGTTGTATTGTCTACTCCTGCCTGACCTGCTTCCTGAGTGATTCCTTTAACTCCTGCTTTTGCAACTTTTCACAGAATGGCAGTACCCATCTTGCCCTTCAGCTTTACTCCTTGGTCCAGTTTCTTTCTAAGGCCCCTGTGATGCTGATTTAGGAACAGACTGCCCCAAGTGCCTCTTGCTGAGGCGAAACTGGAGCTGTTCCTGGTTTTGCAAAGGATGCTTTGTATAATGCAAACTACCAGAATGCCTAAAACAGAGACAGAAAGGCCAGTCAGACATAGTCTTCTTACTCAGCAACCATTTTCACACGGCTGTTTTAAACAAATGCCTCAAGGGAAAACTGTCATTTAAAGTGTGCCATTCTTTTCTATCAGGACTCTGTTTGCATTCAAAGAACTCTCTTATGTGTTTGTACAAATAAAAAAAAAAAACATGTGTCTACTCTTGCACATTAAAAAATTGAAATTAGATATTGCTAAGTGTCTTTATACTCAGGGTTAATGTTTCCAAACTGTCATCTGACTTGATGTAGATGCCCTGTCCTCACCCATACACACACTATGCTCTGTGCCATTATGAGCCTTGAGGGGTAGGGTGGCTCAGTGGGTAAAGAAAGCACTTGCTACTTAAGGATGAAAACCTGAGTTTAAATCTCCAGCAATTCCCTTTCCCTGACACATGGTGGCACATGCCTGTATTCCTAGAGCTGGGGTGGCAGGTGAGAGTGAGAGGCAGGCAGATTCCAGGGACCCTAGCATAGCCAACCAGTGAGCCCCAGTTTCAGTGAGAGACTCTCAATAACCCCAGCTGTGCACACATACACAGAACCTTGGTGAGTCTGCTCTGGAGACAGGCCCATGCTACCTGGAACTTGCTTCACAGACCAATCTGGATTTGGATTTGCAAGTGGGGCCCAGAACCTTCTGTCACTGGGACTGCAAGTTGCTGAATGTGTACCACTGTGTCCGGCAACCTACAGCATCCAAGAGTTCACTAAGATACAGGCTTTAAGCTGTTGCATGTTTCCAACAGAGGTGGATACTGTGATGTGAACTGTAACGTTCACCAAGCTTCGGTGTTCTCAGTGCTGTAGCACTTTGAGATGGGGCCTCATGTTTCCCAGGCAACCCTGAGGTTTGCTGTGAGGTGCTGATACCACAGGCATGTACAACCATGCCTGGCCTATGTGGTACAGGAATTGAAACCAGGGATTTGCATATACTACACAAGCACTTGACTGAGCTACGTTACACACACACACCCAGTACTTGTACTTTTCTGTTATGACAACAGCTTAAAATGTTTTCTGTATTTTCTTACCAGCTACTAAGCCCCATTCCCAAGGTTGGATGCTAGTGCCTGTGTGGTCCAGGCTGGCCTTTAAACTTTCCATCCCTTCAACCTCAGCTTGTTCCTTAGCTTAAAATCTCGTCCACTAGCAATTATCACTTAATGGCTTAACTGTGCTGGCGTGGGTGGGTGTGAAGACTCATTGGCTGGGGGATGGTCAGAGGATGTGCAACAGGGGCTTCAGGCTCGCTTTTCTTCTGCCTTCTGGTCTTCGGAAATGAGATGTCTTGGTCATACACTGGTACCTGACCAGGGAGCTGCCTACTGCCATGGCCCTCCCTCCACAAAGGTCGAGTCCTTCAAACTGGGAATCAAAACAAATCCTCCTAAGTCACTTCTTGCTAGCTGGGAGAAAGTGGGCGGTATTCCACATGACTCTAGTGTACAATACTGCCTGTCCTGTAGAGATGTTGACTCTATTGTCATTTAGTGTTAGTTGCTGCAGTGAAATGACCACAAATGCATGTTTTCATATCAAAGTTCAAAGGAAAAACTGCAAGTCTTGCCATTTTCTGATCATTTTCTTTGATGACAAAAATCTCAGTGGGTTTTAGTTAAAGTGTATGATTTTTTTTACTCTGCAAACTGTAAGGCATTTCCCCCCTTAAGAACTATGTTAATGGTACTTTAAAAACAGACTAAGTTTTTTCTCACACATGTGTTTTGTCTGCACGTATGTGTGTGCACCACGTGTCCAGTATGGGATCCCCTGGAGTTACAGACAGCTAGCTGTAAACCCCCACGTGGGTGCTGGCTGGCAAATACAGATCCAGCCTCTGCTAATGGCACTTTCAACAACATTGTGTATTAATTACTGGCAAGACTCAGAGAGGTCCTAGAGGATGTTTCCAGACCCCAGGAAGCCTGGGGGAAAATAGGGAAGGGGAGACAAACAGCTCTGGACGTTTTGAAATCACTGCGTGCCTTGGGGTTTAAGGTGATGTCCAGGCCTGAAGTATAGCTCGGTGTTAGATCACTCGCTGCTCCCGCACCAGAGTCCTCAGTTTGATTCCAGCACCCCTGCTGTGGGGGGTGGGGGGGAGTGACATGGGACCTCCTTCTAATTAGAGAAATTTTACAAGGATGATTCTCCATAAAGCTTTATTCCCCATCTCTTTTTTATCTCTTACACAATGACGTAAGTGGAAACATATACCATGAAAGACTCAGAAAGTAGAAGGAAAGCACACTTTATACATGATTCTAACAACCCCCACCCCGAATATTTGGCTTATTTTCTGTATGGTTTTTTTTTTATAATCTCCACATGTATACTGGATTATACTACAAATACTTCTCATACTTTAATCACTTAGACTGATAAAACACACAAACAGAACCGGAGCAGGAACAGCTGTGGTCTCTGCATCTTTACAGAGGTGAAAATGACCTAGAGTTCCAGGTGCTGCCAACTTCCTTCTTGTAGTCCGGACCTCTCCACTCTTCCCCAGGCATGGTTTTGCTATCTTGCTATGTAGCCCAGAATGCCTCAAACTCACAACAACTTCCTGTCCTGCCTCATTGTCCCAAATGCTGGGATTGTAGGTGATGTCACCATGCCTGGCTAAACTTACTTAAATCTCAGAACTCCAACCACGCAAGAAATTAATGAGAGGATACTACCTGTGGGAGCACCACTGTCTATGTATAGTTGAAGCATACGTGAAACTTAAACAGAATACCCAGAACAATTAAACATTTTAGTTAAACTAGAATTTCAATGCAATACTCTCTATATATTTTCAATTTTCAATGGATCAGAAAATTAAAAACAAAATCTGTATTAACTACAACCTTTAAAAATTATACCAACACCATCTGACTTAACCAGAGGCCTCAAGAACAAGTTTTCTACAGCACTGCCCTGCCCCCACGGGCATCGGGATGCAACAGCGGCAGCCACAGGGATGATGACTGGTACAGTGTGAAGTGACTGGATCTCGATGAAGCACAGCTGTATCTAACGGAACATGGTGTTGCCTTCCACGTGACACAAACACTGTGTGCAGTCACAAGCACCTCACAGTACTTTATACGCAGACTTCCGCATGCATTTTAAAGTAGCTGCCAAAACACAGGACTCGGTGGTTAAAATAAACACAGCAACTTAACTATTACAAGGACAAGAGAAAGGAAAACACACAATTTACTCAGAGAGGTAGGTGGTACAACATTTACAGACAGCCCTGGCAGGCAAGCAGGCAGGCAGGGGTTAAATCAGGCGTTCACTCGTGCTGTGCTCTCTGTACTACAGGAAACACCTATGTAGCAGTAGGGATGCGGCAGAGAAGAGGTGTGCGGCACTTCTTTACCAGTGAAATTTGCTAACGTCATTCAGGGAATGTGCTGGTATTCTGGATTCATACGCCGCCGAGGCCTGGGCAGGACCCCCGTAGCCCAGAACCTGGGCATGGATGGCAGTGCCTGAACCCCAGTAGCTGGGAGGTAGGGGCAGGAGCACAGCTACAGCAGAGGGAGTGTCTCAGCTGACTTCAGACAGACAACGAAGCCCAGCAGGAGTGGAGGGCGGCTTCAGGGGGACAGTCAGATCTGCACTGGCCACTTCCTCCACAGCTGTGCGGGATGAGCTGCTGGGCAATCCCCTAACAGTGACCCAGGCCTCCATTCTGGAAAGTGACAGGGGATAGAGAACCAAGGTTGAACTCAGAACAATGAAGAGGGGGAAGGGGAAGCTAATACTAGAAGCAGCTACCAATTCCCTCTAAGCCAAACATGCAACAGCCTCTCGTTACAAGATTACCTAAGATAGGAGGCAAAAGGCACCAAACTATTTCCAAATCCAGCAGCCTGCATGCAGAGCAGGTCCCACAGGGATCAAGCGTGACTGTTCACTTCACACACCTATCTGTCATTAAAAATGTGTTAAGTGCTGGTTTCGAACAAGGCAAGCAATGGGCTGAGCTGAGAATGAAGGGGACTGATCAAACCAATGTGAAGAGTAGACAGGCACTCAGGGCTGGACCTGAAGCTCAGAGGCAGAGTCCACTTAGTGAGAAACACGAGGCCCTGGGGCTGATCCCCAGCACAGCCAAACAACAACAAATCCCCAGCAGCAGACAGCAGAGAACAGGAATGGAAAGTTCTAAGACTGTCTGTGTTTCTGGATTGGGTTTCACTATGCAGCACAGGCTGCCCCGATAACCCAGTATTCCCCAAGCTGGTTCTAAACCAATGAGCCTCCTGCCTTAGCTTCTGAAATGCTGGGATTATGGGTGTGTGCCACCGCACCCTGATAGACATTTCAAAATCACTATTTAGACTTAAGGAGATTTAAAAAATGAGATCTTAGCCAAAATTCTTTACATAACAAAAAAAGTATCACTCAATTGTGTACCTAGTCTGTACAGCAGGAGCCTGTTCAAGCCTGTACAAGCAAGACCTTCTTACTCTTGTAACACTGTCCTGTTTGAAGAGCATGTACAATTCCCATCCCTGCAGTTAGTCAGGAGCCCGAATGACCAGGAATAGGGACTATTTACAGCTCACTATAAACACAGTATGTACACCTGCCCTCAGCAAGGGGTGGTCTGGCTCACTCAGCTATGTATGCAGCAGCAATCAGGAGGCACTTGGGAGTTAGATAAGAGATTTTAACGTCACGACTATTTACATTTCAAATTCTCACCAGCCCCATCTCCAAATTAAAAATACCAAATTGCTACAAATGTTACTGTGGTTTCCAAAATATAGTGTTTCTTGGCTTTTTAATGTAAGCAAAGGTTTGCTAATTTTCGGCATGTCGATGCACACAGCGTTTGGCAGGAGGTGGGTGGATAACTCGCTGCTCAGTTACTTCATTCTTTTCCTCTTCTTCAAAAGTGCATCTCGTAGTGCCAGCTGCAAGAGGAGAAAGAAAATGTCAACAGTGACAACAGTCACACCAACTAGGTCATTAACCTACCAGACAGGCACCACTGTGTCAACAGCCACCCCAAAACATCACACAGTGAAATATCTCCCTCGGGATCCAGTCCAGGTCAGCAAGACGGCTCAGTGGGTAACGCCGATTGCTGCCTAGCCAGTAAGACAACCTCACCATTCGCCACGGCTATAACTTCTTTTCAATGGCTCACACTTGAAGACATTAGCATTCAGAGTCAAAAGTCTGGCAATTAGGATCAAGACAAATATTTCTTCCTAGTTAACTCAGGCTCTTAATTTTAAAAGATTTTGTTTTTATTATTATGTGTGTGTGTGTGTGGGGGGGGTGTGTGTGCACCCATCGTGGTTCCCCTGTGGAGGTCGGGAGGGACCCTGTGGACCTGATTCTCTTTTTGCACTTCATGGGTCCCTGGACGTCATCTGCTGAGCCATCTCATCAACCCAGGCTCTAAGTTTTTTTTAACTTTAGTCACTCTGTGCCAGAAACACATCAGGCGAGATGAGAGCAGTGCTGTGTGTGTGTTCTAGTCAGACACGACTGTCTTCCAGCCACAGGAAATGGGCGATCCTGTGATGACGATGCACAGGGTAGAATTTGAAGGTAGACTTTAAGGTCCAGGGAAAAAAAAAAAGACCAGACCTAACATCTGCAGTGACCTCATGTTTCCTACAGAAATAGTGTTGTCCCCGACTTTGGGGGTAGCACCCAGCACTTCTCTGCTCGGCACTTAGAGGTACAGATGTCCACTCAAGATCTCTAACCCTCCCCAGACAACCCACAATACTAAAGGCTATGAAGAACAAGCCTGAGTTTTAAGAAGTAAAAGGCAAGCAAGGCTAAGGTACACATCTCCAGTGTGTGATGAACAACGTTCCATTTATTCCCAAACATGACTCTTACTTACTAAGGTGTGTGTTAACTTGTGCTTTGTTTAGAAGACGTTTTTGGGAGTCAGGTATCCTGACTCACACCTTCAGCACCTGGCAGGCTGAGTCACAAAGATGGAATTCAAGGCCAGTCTGGGCTCATACTCATTTGAAACCCTGCCTCAAAAGTATAAAAACCATTCTAGGATAGATGTGGCCTGGCTCTGCATCTAAACCTTGTAAAGCTCTGCATGTAAAGTCTCCACGCTTCCTGCCGAGACTTCGCATCTCTCTGTAGGCAGGCGGAGGGAGTTGTTAGGACAGTATGGAAGAAAAGGAAGAATCTCAGTCAGTTTGGCTAAGGAGGTCTGGCTTGGCTGTCGGTTTACACTTCACTCACAGGACCTGCTCCTGTGTGTCACAGAGAAGCCCTGAGGAGTTAAGCTGCAGGCCAAGCACTACCTCAGTACCTGCTAGCTACTTGAGTCTTCCCACATCTCAGCTCCTTCCCCCTTCCAATGTCGTTAGCTGAAAGAAGGCATGTCTACAGTCCCTTCCCTCCCTGTGAGTGCCATAGCAAGGCTTCTACATCTGGTTCAGGACAGTGAAACACCCACAGAGGGAGAAGCACTGGTCTTTCTTAGAGGCTGCCTGGGGCCTCTCTGCGCATTTGACAGGAGGCACATGCATGAATGCTGAATCATCACACATACTAAAATAGGAATAGAACCAATCAGAACAAAGAGTTACTTGTTCAAACTGGATGTGTTGTGTAAGACAGGACCCTGGATTTTAATTAGCTACCACAAATATAAAATATCTCAAAAAAAAGTCTGCATTGATTAACTGTTAGAAATACTTTCATATATTAGGTAAAACAGGTCATACTACTAAAATTAATTTTATCATCTTTACTTAAAAATAATACTTGATGCTTCTTATTGTTTGTTTTTTGAGACAGGGTTTCTCTGTGTAGCCCTAGTTGTCCTGGAACTCATTCCGTAGACCAGGCTGGCCTTGAACTCACAGAGATCTGCCTACTTCTGCCTCCAAGTATCGGGAGTAAAGGCGTGCACCACCACTCCCCAGCTTACTTGATATATCTCACATTTACTTTAAACACTGACGGTCTAAGTGTAGCTGAAACAATATGGAAAGTCAGGAACAAGAGTTATGTTCTAGAACGGGGAAACCCTGAAGAAACTGCAAGGCAAGGAAACAATGCAGGAATGCTGACTCATGTGTTAGTTCAAGCAGCCAGACAACTGCAGGATGAAGAAACATTCTTAAACCAGCAGCCGTGAATGTGTCATTCTTAGTTTAGTCTTAAAATGTCTAATCTTTGAGGGAAATGTTTAATAAAGCACTGCTAAGGATCAAAGCCCAGTTTCTCTAGCATGCTAAAACCCGGCATTCTACAAATCAGGAAGTGGGGAGTGATACACTATGCCAAATTAAACCTCAAAGAAGCAAGGCTGCCAACAGTATGGTTGCGCAATTGCCTCAACTCCACGATGTGAAGAAGGGCAGGACTTGAGTCAATTCAACTGTGTGCCAAGATGGGAGTGTTTATTTAGAAACGCCACCACTATTATCTACAGTGTTAAACAGAGATCACAAGTAAAGAATAAAAATAGAGTTTAGGTGGTAGCACCCACACAGTCACATAGCTGCCCAGAGGGCTGGCCACCACACTCAGTCTTGGCAGGTTGTTGTTGGTTAGCTACCAGGAAAGATGGTTCAGGGATGGTGTAGCCTGAATTGCAGATTCTCTGCAGTTGCTTCAGAATGATACCTAGTAAGCTCTGGCATGCTCCCAGAAGAGGAAAACACACAGTGACAATCTGTTTACTACAGCACATCGATGAGATGAGCAAGCCACCCGAGCAGCATGCCTACAGGGCCTTGCATGCAGTACATGCCTGCAGTCGGGAAGCAGAGCAGCACCCAGGTGGCTGAAGCAAATCAATCTTGGAGGAGAGTCAGCCTGGGCAAGTTCAAGCCATTATAAAGCACACAGTAAGACCATCTTAAAACAAAACGGGCAAGCATACCAGCTAAGCGACAATGGACAGAAATCCCCAAGGCTGGTAAACATAGAAACACAACACAGCAGGACTGTGTACTGAGCGATGCTCTCCTGAGCTTTTCCCAACCACTGCAGGGCTTTTAGAAAAAGTCCTATGTACAACATGTATCAATTCAATCTAATTCACAGGCCAGAGACTACTATAGCATGGGAATGGACCACAGAGGGGACTCAGCTTGTTTCTCTTACTTATAGAGATGACCCAGGGTCACCCACAGGTCACATGGAGACCCCTATCAGCTCAGGTTTGAGGCTTACCCACCCCAACTGGCCCGAGCCTCAGAGCGCTTGCTGGCTCCCTGCAACCCAAAGCACACTTGGCATGTGGTCCTCGGAAGGCACCCTCTTGTTGAGCAGACAGCTGCCTTGTGTTAGCACTCGGGCTCCACACTGAACCCACCTGCTTTTCCCGGAAGGAGCGCTTGGTTTTTGACCGGACGTTCTGGCTATATCGCATCATCATAAAGTTCTTCTGTTTTTTCTTCTCTTTATTTGTAGAACTGGAAAATGGATTTATTTTGGTTTTCTTCCTCACAAATTCCTTTCGGTCTGTCCTTCCTGCCTATTGGCAAAAAACAAATAGTGATTCGTATTTCTTCAATAACAACACACCTCGGGAGTTATCTCATCACTGCTGGATGCCAAGGACACAAGATGGGACTCCTAGGACTCAATCCAACAGAGACAAAGCTTGGGCTCAGTGAAATAAATGGAAACACCCAGATTCACCAGATTCCAGAGGCCAAGCTGGTGCTGGCATGGTGGGAAAAGGGGAAGGAAGACGTCAGGGTGTGGAAGAGTGGAGGAGAAAGCACATGGGTTCTAACTGCCCACATGGGTCTCCATTCAAAAGCGGCAAAGGTGAGGGGGAGCTAGTGTGGGACAGTGCTTCACAGCAGTGAAGGGACAAGGTGGTCACTGCACAAACGTGAGTGGCAGCAGCATGAGCCACAGGCCGACTCTGACTGCGAGCATGTTTCTCTATTGCTTTAACAATGTGCTCAGCATCCCAATATCACGAGCTCATAATCTGCATTTCTATCCTCTACACTATGTTTTGGGTGGTAGTTACATGACTACACAGTTGTCAAAACTCATCTAATAGCCACATATAGTGGGAATATCTTTACTCCCAGCAGACACAGGCTCATCTGAGCTTGATGACAGCAGCCTGGTTTACATGGAGAGTTCCAAGACAGCCACATAGAGAGACCCTGTTTCAAAACAACAACATAAAGTACACCAAACAAAACAAAACAATAGAAGCTCTCGCCTAATTGGGGCTGGGATGTAGCTCAGTTGGTAGAATGCTTGCTTAGTAGGCACAGGCTCTGGGTCCTTTCCCCAGCCTGGCATAAACCAAGCATGGAAGCACATGTCTGATGAGAAATGGCATTCTGTAAACATGTTTCTCTTATTGGTTAATGAATAAAGCCCTGTTGGCCAATAGGAAAGCAAGATAGGTGGGACTAGGAGAGGTAGAGGATTCTGGGAAATGTAGGAATCTCTATGTGATCTTGGGAAGAAAGGATGAGAGTCTGGTGTTCTTGGTTAAGATAAGACCATGTAGAAATACATATATTAGTATTTATGGATTAATATTTGAGACAGAGTTAGAAAATAAGAAATGCTAGTAACCGGCCAACAGTTTCATAATACAGCGTCTCTGTGTGTTATTTTGGGGCTGATGGGACTGTGGGACCCGGCTATTAGGAAAGTGCTCATAACACATGTCTATAAACCACCTGGAGAGTAGATGCAGGAGGGCCAGGAATTCAAAGGTCACCCTCAATTAAAGCTTTCGGCCAGCCTGGGTTGTGGGTTATGTTAAGATCTTGCCTGCCTTAAAACAAAACACTCACCTAATAATGGTGCATTGAGCACGTGCCATGAAGTTTATACCTATACACTGGGGCTCATGGTTCATTTTATTCATCTCTGTTTACAGAAGAAGGAATGGTGTGCCCCACTCACCATTGCAGTTGCCAGTCTTGTCTCCTTGTCAGACTTGGGCTTTTTATGAAGGCGTTCAATGTCGCGCAGAGAGAGCAATTCACCCCTGTGGTGAGGGATAAAAACAATACAACACAACGGTGACCTCCTTTCCCTGATGCTTTCACTCCACGCAAGCAGATACAGATCTGGCTATGTGCCCTTTTCACCTGGACTCCTCATCACTGTCGATTTCAACGTATTTCCTTTTCTGGGCTTTCCCGGGGGCAGCATCCATTTCTTTCTTCATCTGGGCCATGCGGATTTTCTGGAAGTCATCCTGAGTTAAAACCCGACTCGTGCTGATGGCTGCAGCTTTGGCTTTCCGTTCCTCCATGGGCATGCTGTCCAGCTTCTTGGCCTTGAAAAGCATAGAGCCGAAAGGATAAATGGCTACCCGCCTAAGTGACAGCAAGGTCATTTAAACTTTAACACGGCCCAGGAAGCAAGGCATCCTGGCAAACAAAGTGATGCCCTTGCGAGAGGTCACATGGACTTACAATTTCTTGCTGCTCTTCATCGGAAGAGTGGTGCACATCAACCCATTCTCCATCTTCCTCCTCCCCGCTGAGACTGGCGCTTTCCCATCCATCTGTGTGAAAGAGAACTCACAGATAGAGCTGCCATTCGCTCAGATCTTGCCAGGCAGCTTCAGGGCTAGATCTTCTGTGGCATGAGTGAGAACCTGGTTCAATCCCCAGCAAAAGGCAAGGCAAAGGGGAGGAAAATGAACCTTCGTCATTTTCTGTATCCTCTTCTTTCTCAATCTCTAGAACCTCTGCTCCTGGAATGTAATCTTTAGCATCTAACTCTCCATATTCTTGTATTCTTGCTTCAATGGAGGCTTCAGTAGGTTTACCCTAAAAGAGAAAATTATTTAAAAATAAGGTGCTTAGATTAAAAGGAACATTCACTATGGAAGGTCCGCTAGAGTGAGAACACTTTAAAAACAAACAAAAAACGGAGATAGAAGGCCCTCTACTACTACTATTAAAATACTACTACTATTAAAAAAAAAAAGAGATAGTCAGATAACAGGAACAACTTGCTTACGCATCAGGTCAACAACGTAACCATCCCCCACCGCTCCCCATCCCAGCAGAACACAGTTCACTTCTTTCTCAATGCCATCTGACATAAACTGAGAAACTGGCTTTTGTAAAGAATAACTGTCCTGACTAAGTCTCAAGAGTGCCACCTCTTTGGGTTACACACATCCTTCTCTGCTGAAAGAGGTGGCTCCTGGCTGGGCTGTGCATCAGCCACTGTCTGACACTGTGGACTGCAGTGTGCCCACAGCCAGCAGGCCCTTAAGACCCAGCCCTCATCACAGAACACAAGTCTGCCGCAAGGGCTGGGGACCAAGGAATTCAACCAATTACATCCTAAGCCTGAAAAACAGAGCCACACGAGTCATGCACAGCATCACTAGTGTGACAGCAGGCATTGCCCTCACTTTCTGAGACCACAATCTGCAGACCACCCTAAGCACGCTTCGCCTACCCGGAACTTCTTCTGAAGCATCTGAGGGTTCAGGGTCCGGAAGAGATGAATCAGAGTTCTGGCAGACATCATTACGTTCTTATCTTTGTGTGTCTTATACTGAGCCAGGTCCTGGAGAAGTTCTTCAGTCATGGCCAAAGGACACCGAGCTGTTATCTCTTTTATAGCATTGATCCTGGAAAAGGAAAAATGAATTTAGAATAAAAGGGCAATTTTATGTTAAAAAAAGGAACACGGGTTAGAACCCTAAACCTGCAGTGTGGCAGAGAAAGAATGAACAGCCTCACAGGCTGTTACTCGTGACAGTCAGTCACTTGCTCCACCAGTGTAACAAGGACCAGTGTTGGGTACAACAAATCATGGAAACGCTTGCTCACCCACTCTAAGGAGAGAAGGCATGAAGACTGCTGGGAAAGGTTAAAGGTCTTTAGGGCTGTTATCCCAGCGACAGATAGCAAGAGAGATACAAAGTAACTGTTTAGCATATCACCTTAATGTGTTAGGTTAGACAACACTTTGAGTTAACCACAAGGGCTACTGAATTTCTCCAGACTCTCTTTAGAGTGACTCATTAATAAATCACTTGTCCCAGTGCAAGAAAAATTCATGGTGGGAGGAAAAGAAACACTTAGGTGGTGAGTAGATTCACACAAGAGTAAACTGCAAAACATCACATGGCTGATCAGAAGGACAGGCACTGTTTATCTGGTTCCCTCCTTAAAATTCTGACCAATGAAATCAAACAGAGCCTTCTGAGAAGGCCACACCTACAGCTCTGCTGTCCATGTTGGTACATTAAAAACACTTACTATACCCAAACATGTTTACATACCCTACGGTCATGACTTCCCCAGAGTTCTTGTCAGTAACGAAATTGTTGGCCACCGTCATGAGCAATGATTGAATAATCTGAGTTGGAAACAAAAAGTGGTGAGTCGGGAGAGGGGTCCTTGCTTCCAGAGGATTCTTCTACTTTCAGGATGGGAGCTGAGAATCAAAACTAAGGAAGAGAGGGAGAGAGCCATGCACCTCCAGCTCAGCTCTCTGGGTTGTACTTAAGGAAAAGGTCACCAGTGTTGGGAACAATGTTCTTTAACATTGCTTTCTTTTTTTAAAACTTTAATATTTTAGTGTGTATCTGCATGTGTGCATGCTGTGTGTGCTGGTGGCCTCAGAGGCCAGAGGAGGGCACCAGAGCAGCTGCAGCTCATTTCAGGCAGATTGCGAGCTGTCTCACTTGGGCTTAGGAACCAAGCTTGGGTCTCTGAAGAGTAGTGAGTTCTCTCACCACTGAGCTATCTCTCCAGCCCCCACTTCTGCTTAGCTTTGTTTGGTTTTTCAGAGACAGGATCTCTCTATGGCACAGCCCTGGCTGTCCTGGAACTCACTCTGTAGACCAGGCTGGCCTCGACCTCACAGAGATCCGCAATGCCTCTGTCTCCTGAGAGCCGGCACCTGGCTACTTCTGGTTTTTTACTATACGTATTCTATTACGTTGTTTTCAACAATGACTAAATCAAAACAAAACTCTGCTTTGACACAGGATAATCCAATGTTCTTTTAATCAAAGAATTAGCAGCTTTAAACAATAATCATAAACCTTGGTCATTAAAGTCAGAACCCTAAGCTTGTTCCCTTCTGTGAACTGTACAGCCGACTTCTGTTACATCCCCTTAGGAGTTAGGCTTCCTCTGCTCATGTAAAGAAAGAGAAACGAGAGACAGCAGCTCTGGGAAGAAACCCTAATATGCCCAGCAGCGGCAACACCGTATGCAATGGGTCCGGTGGCAACACTGCACTGCACTACTGTCCCAAGGTCAGGGTGAGTTCTCACCTCTGGTGGCACCAGGTGATGAGAGGCTTGTGCAGCGAACAGAAGGATCTTCGTGACTTCTGAACGCACAAGAGACAAGAAAGAGCACACATTATCACCTGCCTCCAAGAACTACAGCAACACGGCAAGCAAACTCAGTTATCACATGACTGTCACTTAACTTACTCCACCTGAACACAACCTCTACCTATCTGCAGGGCTCACCTCTTGGCTCTTTCAACTCTACCTCATCAAGAAGGCCCTCCAAGATTCTACAGCCTAAAAGAGGATCTGCCTCCATACTTAATATTGTCCTTAGTCTGCTCTTCTCTTCTAAACCTTGACCTGAGTATTATCCACAGTACTGCATAGACTTCCTTTTAGGGCACAAATTCAGCGAGAGTAAGGATTCTGCTTTATGGTTACCACAGATCTTAGTGTCTAACAGACGTACTGCTCTCCTTGGCTTCTGCCCAGTCACAAAAACCAGCAAGAAGGCTGTGTGTGGTAGCTCACACATACAATCCTAACACACAGTAGTGAGGTCCTAGAGACAGAAGGACCTTGAGACTGGGGCCAGCTGGCGCTACACACCAAATCTGGTCTCAAGCCCCAAAGTAACCAAGTAAGTCACAAAATAAACATCTGTTGGACAAACACAAATATGTATGTATGAACACCATCCCTTCCAAGGGGAAGCACAGTGTATGGAAAGGAGGAGGCCTTTGGACCAGGCATGTGACTCATGCCTGTTAGTACAGCACACAAGAGGCCTATGCAAGAGGCTTGTTGAAGTTCTAGCCAGCCTGGGCTACAGTGACCCTGTTTCAAAAACAAACAAGACCCAAACCGGTGTCATGGTGCAAGCCAGTGGCAGGAGGACCTCTGCAATTAAAGGCCAGCCTGGTTTACACAGGGAGTTCCAGGCTAGCCAAGCATGCATAGTGAGAGTTTCTCAAAACACAAAAACAAGCCAAACAAAAGCCACCACCAACCAAAACAAAAGGAGGCCTCTGGGAAAGAGGCAAACACTGTCTTGCCATTCACATCAATGCTGTGGTCACTTTCTCACTGCAAAGGTCATTGAAGAGTTTCATCTACTGATGCAGAGAAAGCACTCAGCACGGTGCTAGGCTCATGTCAGATGTTCAAATGTTCACTTACTTCCTTCCTGTTGGCCAAAACAAGCACCCATCTCTCCTGGCTCCTGTGTCACTGCTAGCTGAGAAGGCACACAAGGCCATGGAGATCGGTAACATAGAGTCCCGTTACCACAAAACTACAGTTAAAGGTGGAAACTAGACTTTTTAAAATGATTTATTTATGTATGGATATTTTCCCTGCACTCGTGTTTGTGCATTATATGCATGCCTGGTGCCTGTGGAGGTCAGAAGAGGGTACTGGATCTCCTAACTGGAGTTATGGATGGATGTGACCCACCATGTAGGTGCTAGGAAGTGAACCCAGGTCCTCTATAGTGCCTCCTGGTCCTCCCACGTCAGCCTTCCATCTTCCTTTCTTTTCTCTATATAAAACACACACTAATGATGCTAGAACAAAAGACTAGCACTTATTAGGTTACAGCCAGCAAGGAGCAGACACACGGGCAGGTTACCTCTCTGGTGGGGCTGCAGAAACCTTTGCATAAAAGGGTAGAAGTTGAAGAGGAAAAGCTGTGGAGAGAAGAACACACCAACTTTAATATTTATGAAATTTAAGCATAAAATTTCATTTTTCATCATGTAATTTCATCACCAAGATAAATGTACTGGGAATGTTTTTGACTTGTTTTAGTCTCAGTAAGCAACCTTACCACAGGCTAATTCAATATGCTGCAGTAACCTAGGAAAAGAATTTTTTCCCCAACACTACCCTGCTAACTTACTTATGAGAGAGGAAGAGTAGAATAAAGTAGGGAAAGGTAGACAAAACCCAACACTCTTCTAGTTTTGACCCTGGCCTGGGCTGCAGAGCTCTGTCTTGGTGTTCACAGAAGGAGAGCAAGGGTCCTAAAGCCCCCGGGGACAGAGCAGGGCAAATCTGAGTGGCCCTGGTATTATCAGATTGCCACAAACTGACACTCCTGACTGTACTGTCTCCTAATCCAACCACACTGGAGGGACACTGCACTCTGTCCAACAATCTCAGAGCAGAACCAGTCATGACAACCATGTCAGAAAACTGGGCTGCAGAGCTGGCTCAGCTGTTAAGAGCACTGGCTGCTCTTGCAGAGGACATGTTCCAGCACCCATGTGATGACTCACAACCATCTGTAACTAACTCCAGCCCCAGAGGGTCCAATGCTCTATTCTGGTTTCTGTGGGCACTGAACACATGCACTTCATAAAAATAAATGCAGGCAAAACCCCCATACATGTAAGAGGGAAAAAACAAAGCAGTCAAGAGAACAATTCCAAGGATCACTTTGTGATCTAAAATTTTGCTAATCTTTTTCTAAAGGCAGCTTTTCTGAAGAGTATCCACATGCATACGATATACGCACATCAAGTAGCTCTTACACTCTAACTCAATACAAAATACCCGGGTATCCTAGCTTTGCAAACATACAACTACCAGAAACACCTGGAAGTTAAATGCCAGGAAGGCTAGGCACACTGAAAGGTAACCAGAAGCAAGAGATGTACGTAGTTTATTCTGGCTCATGAACACGTACGTGAAAGTATGAAGTACAGAGCACATAATGGTTACATGAGAACTGAATGTGCATACATTAGTATGTGCATCTATATTGGAAAGGCAACAGTGGTATATAAAAGCAGCTGCGTTCAGAGGGAAAGCTGCTGATTCTAACTGTGCAAATGCTTGGGGATTAGAACCAAGACACTGTTCTACATAACTGCTTTCTTTTACCAAGCCCACTCCACTCCCGACATCTACCAACTACATTTCACACTTCCTGAATTCCCTCTATTCCTGACATCCATCAAGAGAAAAAGTGTGTTTCGCACCTCGTGAATCCCCACCAATCTGGAGATGAGGTTCATGAGCATCATTTTCACTTCAAATCTCTCCTTACAGCTCTCTAGCTGCTTCAGAAGCTTTTCTGCAAAGTCTGGAAGGAAAGAATCACAGGAACCGTGGGTTTGTGGCTGCAGACAGCATTTAACAGGCACAGGGAAAGGGCATGGGGAGTTACATCACTGAAAAGATCAAATACAGTGCCCCAAATTCATCTTAAGGACTCCCGAGGTTTTTTTTTAAGACAGGGTCTCACTATATAACCTTAGTTGTCCTGAAACTCACTGTGTATATCAGGCTAGCCTGTAGAATTCAGAGATCTGCCTGCCTCTGCCTCCTGAGTGCCAACACTCAAGGTGATTTTAAACATTTTTAAGAGAACTTATTTATTTTTAAGTGTATGTTTGTATGTGCACATGTGTGCAGATGCTCAGAGGCCAGAAGGTGTTGGATGGCACGGTGAAGTATTTGATGTGAGTGCCAGGAACTAAACTTTGGTTCTCTGCAAGAGCAGACAGTGCTCTTTAGCTGCCAGAGAAACTCTTCAGCCCTGGATTCCTAAGATATATTTCTAAAATCATTATCTTTTGATGTTATAATCATATCATTTCCCCCTTCACTTTTCTCCCTTGAAACCCTCCCATATACCTTTTCCTGCCTCTTTCCATGAATTGTTTCATGCATATATGTGTATATATACATATTCCTAAATATAGGTTCCCAAGACACTGTGCATCAACTTTCACAGCGACTATGGATATAGTTTGTTTCTGAGAGTGTGGTCTGCAGGCTGCCAGCAGCCAATCTACTATAACTTTCTTGGAAGTGCAGATTCCAAAGCCACACCCATGCCCTGATAAATCAGAATCTGCACTTTACCCAGTTTCCTAAGTGATTCAAATAAGACTGGTCTAAAATGGGTAAGAAAACAGGAAGTGACAAGGCCAACAAGGAACTCAGAAGTAGTAATTATGGTACCTTGGGGATCATGAATCAAATGAATAGCTGAAAAGTTAAACACTTCTGGTTTCTTCTTCTTCTTTTGTTTCTGAAAGAGAAGAGAAACCCATTCAAAACCCCTTGGCTCCAAACTCCTGTGACATGCTCTATGTCTATGTGCCTGAGCCCTGAAGGCCATTAGCCAGTCCTAGACTGACTGTAGACCATGTGCCCAACAGGGGAAGATGTGAGTGCTCTACCACTCAGCTCTGTCTCTCTGAGACCGGGTTTCTTATTGAACCTAGACTTACTGTTTTCTAGCAGGGCTGGCCGGTTATCAATTTCCAACAATCCACCTGACCTCTCACGTCAGAGCTAGGGTTACAGATGTACGCAGCCACACCTGGCTTGTACTAGATACCTGAACTCAGGTGGGTATGCTTGCACAGAAGAGTTCTTACTCACTGAGCTATTTCCTTGCCCCGCTAAACTAGCTTAAAAGAGAAAACAAAACAAAAACTTGTTCTAAAAATCTCTTCTCATTTGAAAGAACTAAAGTTTGTCTTCACCTTTTAAAATTAAGCTTTGAGAAACCAGGCATGATGGTGCACACCTTTAATCCCAGCACTTGTAAGGCAGAGGAAGGTGGTTCTCTGGAGTTTGGAGCCAGCCTGGTCTATAGAACAAGTTCTAGGACTGCCAGAGCTAGCTACATAGTGAAAGCCTGCCTCAAACAACCAAACAACAATAAAGCTTTGAAAGCATATCAGCTATAAAATGTGTAAATGCATGCACAAACATGTACACATCCTAACCCCACCCACAAATGAACTATAACACTCTCTTCCTCCCCCCACCCCATGGGGATCAAACTAACAATGCTTGGAATAACCATCACCAAATACCAAACGTTTTCTAAGATCTCTTATCTAAGGTAAATTTAATCAAATTTATTCACCACAGTTTTGTCAGAGCTAAACATAACTTATTCATCTAAACCGGAAATGCTTACCATTCATTATACTTTTTGCTTTTAGTACTATCTCTTGACTCCAAACTCCATGCAAGTTCTACACTTACTACTGCCGTTTCCAGGCACAAACCTCACCCTTAGCACTTTCATCGCCTTTTCCAACTTCTTCTTGTTTTTGGAGCCCTTCTTCCCTGTGGCGTACTGCACCAGCAGGTCCCTCGCTGTAGGTCCTTCATCCTGAAGAGCAAAGGACACTGGGAAACCAGCAGCAAGGAAAATCTGCACAGGGGTAGTGCACTGACCTTCAACTGCATTCCGTTTTGTTCTAGAGATTCATTTAATTTTTCATCTTGTGTATATGTGTGTGAGAATACGGATGTGAGCGCAGTGCTCACATAGGCTACAGGTCTTTGAGTTCCCAGGAACAGGAGTTACAGGTGGTGGGATGTTTAATAAAACAACCTGGTTAGCATCAGAGTGAGTGAGTGAGTGTGTGTGTGTGTGTGTGTGTATGCATGTGTGTGCATGTGTATGCGTGTGTGCATTAAACAGTGCTGGTATAGCCATTAGGGGACAACTCTGTAGAATGATTCTCTACTCTCATCTTTACACGGCTTCTACAGATGCAGCTTGGGACGCTGGGATCACTACACACAAGCTTTATCTGCTGAGCCATCTCTTTGGTTTTGGTTCTTAGACTTTTTGCATGCACCTACTAATTACAACTCTAAAAATCAGGAACTATGCACTGTGCAAAAAGAGGGCACACATTTTTCCCTGCTTCGGTGATTTTTATTCTTAGATTTAGTATTTATTTTTCATTTCAGTATGATATGCAGACACGTTTCTTTTATTTGAAGGAAACTGGAAATGTATTCATCAATAGAAGAATTATTACAGTGTAATACATTCATATTCTGGAATATTCCAGATGTAAACAAACTGCATCTGCATACACTGACACAAAGCACACTGCAATGTGGACATATTATGCACATAGCTTCTAAATGTATGCAGACCTTCTGTACAGACAAATAAATGTACTGGAAACAAAATGAGTTACCTGGAAGGAAGGAACTACGAGAGAAATAACCCAAAGTCAAGAAAACTTTTATTCTGTCTACAGTCTCAAAGTTTTTACAAGGAAATATAGTAAGATGTTACCCCCTGGTCTAGTTACCACAATACTAAAATTATTTGTGTTTGTGTGTGTATCTGTACACACCGGCGTCCCTGGAGATCCCTACAGAGAACAGAAGAGGGTGTTCAATCCATTGGAGCTGGAGTTATACATAGCTGTAAACTGTCCAAGATGAGTGCTAGGAACCAGACTCTGGTCCTCTACAAGAGGTCAGAGCAAGTGCTCAAACCACTGGGGTACCGCTCTCGCCCGGAATGTATATGCATATTTTTTGTTTTTTTTTTTTTTCTTAAAAGAACTTCTTACTTCTCTAAGAGTTTTTTTAATCACAATCTTGATTTTAAAGACACTGCAATATTATTCTCTCTTTCCTACTTTCGTAATATTTGTACTACTTCATAACTGCCAGCATTTTCTTTTCTTCTAAATTTAAATGTGAACAGGTAGAAATAACTCAGAACTAAGATCAGGGTTGAATGAATCTGATTTATATTTTTTTAAATTTTTTTTCCTGATTTACATTTTAGTCTTACTAGATAAATAAAAGGAATACATTGCAAATGTTTTGAATTAAAGTCTCAACATGGCAGGACTTAAAAAAAAGGATATATGTGACACTTATTTCTTCTGACTCAAACATCTAAAGGTCTGACAGACTGAACTCTGAGGAGCAACACATGAGGATATGCATTCAACTCACCTCGGATTCTGAGTCACTGTCCTGTTTCTCTTCCTCATCTTTGCCGAGAAAGAATGTCAAAGCAGCAACTAGTATCTAAAGACCAACAAGAAACAAGTCAACATACCCAGCTGACAACAAACAGACTTCTGTCTACACTTCCTCCCCACATGCACATGTCTGAAGAAAAGAACCCCAGCGGGCGGGAGGAAGATAATCACTCCTTTTTCATGATTGCATATTTCATTTTACAAATACGCAATCCATTTCACAATACGCAATAACGTCCTTAACTAGGATGGAGGAGAGGGACATAGCTCAATGGCAGTGCACATGCTTGAGAGTTAGCCCAAGCCCTGGGTTCCATCCCCAGAAACCCCTAAGTCAATCATTTATTAGAAAAAAGACTGCCAGGCACATGTCAAACGAAGGGAGAGGTTAGCGCTCCCCTTGACAAGGACAGAAGGACCTCTAGTCTCACAACACACACAGTTAAGGCACTGGCACTGAGGCAGCAGCATCCAATCAGTGCCTTCGTACACTCGCATCTATTGATAAACAGTGACTTAAACAAACACAAACATCCGCCAAACTTTATACAGTTCTCTTAAGGAAGACTACTGAGAATTTCAACATCCCCAAGAAAGGGGCCTCACAGCCTTTCTTATAAGTCACACATTGTCTGTTTCTTTCAACTGTGCCGGAGCCCAACAGAAGAAAAGCCAGGATCACAGGGGAAAAAAAAGTAAACTGCTGCTGTTATTTTGCCCTATCATGCAGTTGGGTTTGGTGGCGTCTCTTTTTACAGAGTCACTTTCCTGGCTCACACTTTGGAGGCGTCAACTGAACTACAGAATTTGTAAGGCATGATGTAGAAATGGCAGCCATCTCCTCCTGACACACCCAGCCCCACTTCAGCACACTCCTGCACGGCCCTGCAGCTCACCTTGGTGATCTTGGAGAAACAGGCGGTTGTGATAACATTGACAGTTTTAGCATCATTCCTGGAAGAGAAAACAGCATAAAATACTGAGTACTTCTGACATTAGGATGGTCACTTCTGGGATTTTACAGTGACAAGCTGCTGCTCAGAGTCAGCACAGGTACAAAACTTCCTAAATTCCAGTTTAGTCTGAGGACACAACTTGAAGTCATCAATGTGAAGAACATTTGGTGCCACAGGAACCCACTCAGCACTTTTGTTGTTGTAAAAGAAACAAAAATGGAAACTCAGAAGGGAAAAAACACAATACTGCAAACCCAGAGTTAGAGGAATGGTTAGTAGGGAGAGCACCTGTGTTAAGTATGAGGGCCTGAGTTCAGATCCCAGCACTCCTGTTGGGAGCACAGCTGCCTGTCTATTGGCAGAAACGTGATCCCCACAGCAAGCCAGCTAGCCAGATTAGCTGAACTAATTCAACTGGGTTCAAATGAGAGACCTTGTCTCAACATACACAATAAAGAGCACCTGAGGAAGACAGCAGATGCCAAGCGTGGGCACACTTACTTACTTACACACACACACACACACACACACACCCAAGGTACGTGCAAAAAAATAAAATTAAAAAAAAAAAAAACTTTAAAAAGCATTTAAAAAACTCAGTGAAATCTCAACCACAGCTGATAAAAAGGTTCACTTCAGCTCACACTCCATCACCGAAGGAGGTCAGGACAGGAGCTGAAGCACAGGCCACTGAATGCTGCTTATTGACTTTTTTCCTCATATTACTCACCCTGCTTTCTTAAACAACTCAGGACCACCTGCCCAGGGATGACACCCTCCCACATCCGTCATCAACTAAAAAAATGCATCATAAAGTCCTGCAGACCATCTGGTGAAGGCATCTTCTCAACTGAGGTCCTCTTCCCAGGTAACAGTAACTCACGTTCAGCTGACAAAAGCACCAACCTCTGTATTCTACACTCAACCTCAATGTATAATAGAGTATATTAAAGTGTATTAGACTAAAACAAAGACAAAAAGCCACACTTATCTATGAGCTCTGTAATCATTATAAAGGAAAATAGAGCTGGGCGGTGGTGACGACACACACCTTTTAATCCTAGCACTCGGGAAGCAGAGGCAGGCAGATCTCTGAATTCGAAGCCAACCTGGTCTACAGAGTGAGTTCCAGGACAGCCAGAGTTGTTATACAGAGAAACCCTGTCTCAAAAAAACAAAAGAAAACAACAAATGTGTGTGTGTCTATTCCCCATGAGAAAAAATCCTGTACGTGTTACCAGATGTTCCTTCTGTAGAGTTCGATCATCACATCCAAAGACATCTTGGCTGCGGTGGCGTTGCTGTCTCTCAGCATTGTGTACATGAAATTCTGCAGCACCTAGGGAACAAGGGGGATGAGGACTTGATAGACAGACGGCACAAAGCCTGGAGCACAGGAAGCGAAGGCCACTTACCACATTCACTTTATTGTTCTTGTGTTTGGCGTTTATGTTCTTGATGTCAGTCACAATATGTGTGTACAGAGTCTGAGGAAAGAAAGTGCACCTGTGAAACTGATGAGCATGTCTGACCTTGGAGAAAAGCACCAATGCTCAGGACAAGTTTACTTTCCTACTTCATTCTTTGCTAGATGAGATCTAAAGAAGCAAACACTCAAGAGTAGCTAAAGGTAAAGCTGCTCCCAGGGTCCTAAGTGGAGTTACCAAATGAACAAGTCTACCCCAGGAAAAAGAAAACCTATTCCCCTACCTGTTACATGGTCATAACTCCTTTGTTTACAACAGGCAAAAAAGGAGAAGCAACCCAAATGACCCCTGGGTGATGAATAGACAGCGCACTGCAAGGCTCTGGATTCAATCTCCAGCACCGCCAGAAACAGAAAGCACGGAGGGCCATAGAGATGGCTCCGAGGTTAAGAGCACTGGCTGCTCATGCAGAGGACCTGAGTTCAGTTCCCAGCACCCACATCTGTCTCTATAACTCTCATTCTAGGAGACCTGACACATTCTTCTGATTTCTGTGGGCAGTGAATGCATGCAGTACACATAGGCAAAACACCCATACAAATAAAAATGATTCTTTTGTGCTATAAATGAATATAAAAATGTTTGTTTTTATTAAGTTTAATTAATGTAGTTGTGTGTGTTCACAGTTGGGTATGCGCACATGAGTGCAGTTATCGTGGTGGCCAGAGGTGTCAGATCCCCTGGAGCTGGAGTCACTGATAGTTGTCACTGCCTAGATCCTTTGGCATGTGACCAAAACATGGTCTCATGGATCATTTGTAGTTCACAACTTAGACCAGAACTACAAATGCTCAAATCAAATATTAACAGTCACTTACTATTTGGTATGAGGGATTAACTTAATGAATATAAACTTCAAAGTTTTTCTTTCTGAAATTTGTTTCATAAGCCACAAAGATCTCAACAGTCTCTATTTTAGCCTTTTGTGAATAAACATACTTGATGCCTCTGAGATTAATGAATAGTCCAGAGTGGCACTCAGCAAATGCTTGTTATTGCTATTTAAACTGCATGGCACTATGTTTCCTCCTACTGAAGGACCAGCTGTATCTCTCACCCTCTCAAAGTTCATGATTCTGTAAACTCTGTTAGGCCAGATCAGGAAGAGAGGAATGTAGAGAATAAATGTTCACTCTTTACCTTCCGCAGGAGCTTGTCATGGCATCGCAGAAGCTCGAAGAAGAGCTCTAGCAAACTTGATGGATTGATGAGATTTTTATTTCTCAGCAAGATCAATGCTTTGCAAAATGTCTAGGGGGAAGAAAAGGAAACATGCTAAAAGATGAACTTAATCAAATGAGAAAACATAGCATGTACATCCCATCTCTGCCCTCCCCCAGGCACCAGAAAGACGTTCGGCAGGAAGATGCTCCCTTCTCCACTATGATTGCATGCACAGGACGTTTTAACTCGCCTACCATTCGGAGATCCGGGTCCAAGACAGTGTGATTGTAGGAGAGCAGCTCCTTCAGCTCCTGCGGGAAGTTACTGAGATGCTCCGGGTAGCAGTGGCCTATCTGTAACAAAACAGAGCTCTGAGTTCTCAGTACGGCCTTTCCCCCCCACCTTCAGCTGCACATTCGGATGCTCAGGGAACAGCCAATGCACAAGGCAGATGACTTTCTATCACCAGCTTTCCATGTATGCCAATTTTTCTATGACTTTCATGGTTTCAGCAGTTTTTGTTAAAACTGCCTGTATGATGAATTAAAAAATAAAATTCTTTTTGATTTTTGTTAAAATGTATCCAGCACAATTGAGAACCTATCTGTATGACAAATTTTAAAAAAATCCTTTGTGATTTTTGTTCTGTGTTAAAATTCATCAAAATCCTCTAACATATCTTAGGAAGAAAATAAGATCTACAAAAGGGAAGGCTTTAGGAAACATTTGAGTTTCCAGAGGCTGGACACAACAAGGATGGGATGGGGTAGTGGTATTTTTACACCTCTGTCTCACTGAGGAATTACTTTCTTACCTGTGCCATGAACATCACCAGCTCTGCCAGATCTTTGCTGGGTTTATTTGGCTGTAACTTGAAAATCTCCATATTGGATTTATAGTGATTATACTGCTGGAGGAACTGTAGGGGAAGAAAAAAGAGAACAGAGTTTGTCACACTCTGTTGTACAGAATAACAAGGTGGCACAATTTGCCAGTGGCACAGAGAAAAAGGTCTAAGTATATAAGAACACATTTTATTTGGTGGTCCTGGGATTAAAACCAAGGCTTCGGGAATGGCAGGCAAACCCTCTACTGAGTCACACCTGCAGCTCTTAAAACATTCCTTTTTCCTTCTCTGCATCTTCCCACATGAGTTTTGAAAAGTCTTTAGCATCACACGGCTCACATGAAGACCTGTTCCTTAGGACAGAAGCTTGAGCAGTGTGGTATAAACAAAAGTCAGGAACTCAGACTCTGGCTTATTTTCCCATCTTTATTACATGAACTTTATTACATGGCCCAGCTATACCACTCCTAAGTATATACCAAAAGGACTCCAATCCAACACCACAGTTATACCCACACACCCATGTTTATTGGTGCACTACCTACTACAGCCAAGAAACAGAACCGGCCTAGGTGTTCATCAACAGAAGAATGTACAATGAAAATTTGGTACATATACACATTTTTTTTTCTGTCAGTCTTGAGCAACAATGAAACCATGACTTGGGAGGAAATCATTATGGTAAGAAATGTTTGCTCTCATAAGCTCAATTTTAGATTTAAATTTATGTTGATAACATAATTATGTTATAAAATTATGTTGAAGACATGTTAGAAAGGGGAATATGGGAAGAGATTTTCTTTATGTGTACCGAGTGTTTGCCTACATGTATGTGTATGGACACATGTGCCTGGTATCCAGAGGCCAGAGGGGGTGTAGGCCGCCCTGAAAGTGGAATTACAGATGGTTATAACATCAAGAAGATGTTAGGCACCAAACCTGGGTCCTCTGGGAAAGCAGCCAGTGCTCTTAACCACTGAGCACCTCCCCAGGAAGAAGAGCTCTTAAAGGGTACAGGGAACTGAAATATGTGTGACATACACCAATACAGGAGCAGAGGAAAAGGAAGGGGACCAGTAAGAGAGGGACAGGGAGGACTGGGAAGGGCAGTGTAGGAGGGGAACAGATAACAAAACACAGTGCATACTTAATGAAGTATGAAATAAAACCGGCCACTCTGCACGATAACTAACAACAGAAAAAAGAAATGCAAGGGTTCTTAAATGACTTCTTTGTGAATGACGGGACTTGGGGCACTGGAAGGCCTTGCCTGCTGGTACTTTGTTGTACTAGTTTGGCACTCTCTTTTGGCCACTCCAAGTATTAAAAAACATTCGTATAAATGCTCATATGTAAAGAGTGGGGGAGAACAATCAAAAAGCTGAGCTGAGCTATCCTCTGGGGGAAAAAAGTCACAATGTCGAAGGAAGTTAGGGGCATCAGGCTGAGATGATGGTCTGATGCTTTGGAGACAAACGTGTGTCTGAATCCTCTACCAGGTTAACAGCACAACGTCACCGCTTTCATTTCGGCTCACTTCACACACTTCAAGTGCTAACTAAGTTCTTCACAACGCTGACCTAACATCACTCCCGACCTCGATCTTCTCCCAAAGCGTTTTCAAAACTCTAGCTCGGGCTGGCTCCCAATGAGTTTCAACTCTGGCTTGACCGTGGCCCAGGCATTTGAGAACTCTGCTCTTCCTGGCAGGGCTTGGGGCGCTCGGGAGCGGCCGTCTGTGGAAAGCACCTTTAAACAGGACTCATCCATGTTAGGGACTTGAGAGTTTCTGATCCGAGGCGGCCGGCGGCTGGGCGCAGCCTCTTGGCCCCTCTGCCCCGCGGCGGGCGGATGCACAGACCCGCAGGCAGCAGGTTTGAAGGTGTCTGAGTGGCAGTGTGGTCTGCAGGGCGGCTTGTTTGCCAGCGGCTGGAGGCGTCCTTAGGAACGTTCCTTCCCCACACCCTCTCCCTTCCCGAGCGCCCCGGAAGCCTTGGGGGGGGGACCCCAGGGCCGCATCCCCGTCCCACCTCCTCGACGTAGGCCGGCGGGTCGCGCTTGATCAGGTTCTGTAACTGCGGCAGGTTGCTGGGCAGCTTGTTGTTGTTCCTGCCCGACATGGTGGCTGCAGACGGGCTCCCTGGCGAGCAGTTCTTGGAAAACGTAACCCTCCGTCAGTCACGGCCGGTCCCGGCCGCAGCTTAGACTCGTGTTTCCCCAGTGTGTAACCGGAAGCGGCACGTGGGACGCTCGGCAAGCCGTACCGAGCTACGGGAGTCTCAAAGGCTCAAACTTAACCGCCCTACTTGCAGTGCTTTGTTGGAGTCTGCATGCTACCGGCCCCTGCTGTTGGGCAATCGCTACTGCTACCACCAAATATTTTCAATACAATGAAAAGTTAAAGCTGTGGAAGTTTCTTCCACATGTATGAGCAGGCTTCATTATCTCAACATTCTTTTTCATTGAAAATAAATTTTTTGGGAGGGGAGCGTTTTGGAGATAGGGTTTCCCGGTGTAGCTTTGGAGCCTGTCCTGGGACTCGCTCTGTAGACCAGGCTGGCCTTGAAGTCAAAGAGATCCTCCTGCCTCTGCCTCTCGAGTGCAGGGATTAAAGTCGTGTGCCACCAACGCCCGGCTGAAAATCATTTTTTTTTAAAATATTGAGACCATTCTTTTCTTTTTTTAAAAAAAAAGATTATATTTATTATGTATACCGTGTTCTGCCTGTGTGTATGTCTGCATACCAGAAGAGAGCACCAGATCTCATTACAGATGGTTGTGAGCCACCATGTGGTTGCTGGGAATTGAACTCAGGACCTCTGGAGGAGTCAGTGTTCTTAACCTCTGAGCCATCTCTCCAGCCCTGAAAATCATTTTTATACGATACATTTGATCATGTTTTTTTCCCTCCTCCAGTTCTTCCTAGGTCCTCCCCACCTCTCTTAGCAAAGTTCTTAGGATGGCACAATGGATAAGGATTAATAAGGGACATAAGTATGCCGACTACTTACAAAGCGGAGGCGGGAGGGTGAAGACTCTCAGGTCATCTTCAGCTGCACCTGGAATTTGAGGTAAGCCTGTGATACATGAGATCTTGTATTGCAAAATGAAGGCTAGAGAGATGGCTAGGAACTAAAATCTGGTACCAGGTTGCTCTCAACGGCACCTACGCTTACAGCACACATAGCCACACACAGATGCATATACATAATTAAAACAAACAAAAATCTTTTTAGAAATGAGGATTAAAGTCAGGCATGGTGGTGTATGCCTTTGATCCCAGCACTCAGGAGGCAGAGGCAGGATGGTCTCTGTGAGTTTGAGGCCAGCATGGTGTACAGAACAAATTCCAGGACAGCTAGGGGCTGTTTAAAAAAAAAAAAAAAAACAGTCTTGAAAAAAACCAAAAAAAAAAAAAAAATAGAAGAAGAGATAATTATTTTCTTTAGACTGTCATGGAATATTATTTAAACTGGGTAAAGATATGTTACATTTGTTTATGCTGCAGAATATTACTTTAACTGTGTAAAGGTGTGTTACATTTGTTTATGCTGCATTTGTTTAATGATGTAAGGATGTGTGTTTAATTATGTAAAGATGTGTTGCATCTGTTTCACTTTGTCTGCCTAAAGCATCTGATTGAGCTAATACAGAGCTGAGCAGCCAATATCTAGGCAGGAGAAAGGATAGGCGGGGCTGGCAGGCGGAGAGATTAAATAGGAGGAGAAATTAAGACTGGGAAGGACAAGGGAGACACCTGAACCAGGCAGCCATCAGCCAGCCGGAGAGTCAGCAGGGAACTACAAAAAGGTAAAAAGCCATGAGGCAAAAAGAAAATAAAAGAGAAACAGGTTAATTTAAGTTAAAAGAACTTAAGTTAAAAGAAATGAGCCTAAGCTAGGCCAACATTCAAAACTACTACTAAGTCTCCATGTTATGACTTGGGAGCTGGTTGGTGGACCAAAAGAAAAAGCCTAATACACTGTACTAAAGTTGTAAGAAATATCCATGAGGAATATGTCTAGAAAACAGTTGTCTTAGAGACTCACAGAAGAGCAGGGATGAAGGTTAAATTAGTTTGTTTTATTGTTGTTTGTTTGCTTTTGTTTTTTGAGACTGGTTTCTCTGTAGCCCTGGCCATACTGGAACTCCCTCTGTAGACTAGGTTGGCCTCCAACTCAGAGATCTGCCTGTTTCTGCCTCCCAAGTGCTGGGGCTAAAGATGTTCACCTCCATCAGTTTGTTTTTCTTTTGGTTGTTTCAATTCATCTTGGTTTGGATAAAGAATGTGAATTAATATGTATTTAGAATTCAGCCATTGTTAAAACTTCTGTGAATGCTTCTCAGAGTTTTAAATTAAGATCTGGTACTTTGCGGAGAGGTTTCTCCAAGTGGCTGGGTGAATGAAATAGTGGCAGAGTTAATAAAATGTTTCTATAACCCCACCATGTACATCAGTGACTGTGAGGTGGCTGGCTGAATAAATAATGGCAGTGTTAATATAGTAACATGCTATCACCCACCCTGTGTCCATACTGTCCAAGCACATCTCTTAAATTCTCTTTAATCCTCAGCATCCCTCTAAAAATGGACACTGTTATCTTTAAAGCTGAGGCTAAGAGTGATTGCTCAGGTTTGCAGATGTCAAGGAAGCTGGGAGTCCATGTGATGAATAAAGCGAGAGGGGAGCCTTGGCAGATTCCATTGGCAGGCGAGGGTGATTGAGGTGATGGCCGTGGTGGTAGTGGGACAAATAGGCCAGGGAGACAGCTTAAGCGAGAAATTTTATGGGGGGGGGGAGTAAAGAGACGCACATAGAGAAGACAGAAGAGAAGAGGGAGACAGAAGCAGTAAAGATATCAAGAAAGAGTGGAAAGAGAATGGAAAGTGGGCGGGGCCTTTCTTTTAAAGAGCTAGAGTACATACACCTGCCATGCACAGGTGGGTGAGGCCGGGCCAGGTTTGCCTGGATTGCAACATTCAATCCAGGCAACCCTTAATTGTAACTGGTCTGACACTAACAAAAGAATCAAGGTGTTATTATTCTGCTTAGCCTAAGCACTTTCCCAGACCATCTTCAGCCAAGGTCGCCCTCCTGCCACTATGTTACAGGTCAAATCAAAACAACTCTATAATCCCACCTGGGCAAAGTGCTGAGCATAAGTAGAGCAAGACTTCTCGGAAGGAGTTAGTGTTCTATGGAGAAAGCTTCCTTCCTCATCTCTTCCGTGGTGATTCTGAATGGCAGGGTCTCAGAGCAGCATGGAAACAGTTGCAATGAGAGCTGGCCAGGCTCACTCCTATAGTGGGACATGAGCCCTTGAGCAGAAGGACGTTAAAGCTGATTAAAATGATGATGGAACTGCTGGCTTAGCAAAGGACTTTCACTAAAGTTTGGTAGCTGTCCATTGTTCCTGGGCACAGTTTCAAAGGATTTTTTTCCTTCCACGTGCAAGTATTCTAACCTTGATGTTTGCAGCCTAGTGGTTGGTGATTTAGCCCAAGAATTTTGTTTGTTTCTGTGAACTGAACACTGACTCTCCTCTAAAAGAGCAGCGAGTGCTCTTAACCACTGAACCATCTCTCGAGCCCTGAGAGTCACTTTTAACTAATGGCCCTGGCCTTGTCATGGGCTTGGGGAGCTGAGGGTACTCCAGCGGCCTGAAAATACAAAGGTAGTATGGCATCTAGGACAGCTCTAGGGCTGACCTTACTGGGGCAGTGAAAGAAGAAAGAAAAGAAATGTTCAGACACAGGAGTTCGACTGGGTGGGCTGGGCTCTCTGACGGAAACGCTGCAGCAGCCCAAAGCTCAGAGTGTTTATTATATACAGCTGAACGGGGAGGCAGTGCTTTTCATGCAGCGGAAAAGGGAAGCAGGTTTAGTTATTCTCTGTAGGAGTTGGCTCTGTAGGACAGCAAGCAGTCTTGGGGCTGTAATATGGGGGGGGGTGGGATGAGGTGAGGGAAGGCGCTGTTGGACCTTTCCTCTACACATTATCAACGTTTGCACTCAGCCCAGGAGGGAAGGCGTTACCATTTCTCTGACACTGAGGAACTGGGGTCTCTGACATGGCTGTGCTATGTCAACTGCACACATTCACGCAGGGCTTCCTCTGCGCCCCACAGAATTGGGTAGAGGAAGCCCATCAGCGCCAACAGCTGCTGGGCCTAGTTAATTCAGTGTGGCAGTCTTGGACAAATACTTGAAAATGGTTATGTCAGAGTTGGATATCTGGGCCAAGGGTTAAGACAGCAAAGGTGACAGACACAGCAGGAAGACAGAGATGCCAAGGTTTTTCTCAGCTGTCTGCAAGATACTCATGGATATCAGGGTTTAAGAGAAAGTGGCCTTCGGGGTTTCTTCTGCAAAGCAACCAAGATGACAGTAAGTGACACACACTTGTCAGAGATGTTTTCACAGCTGGTGAAACAGGGTACAGCAAGCAATGCCTGCTCAGCTACAGGACCTCCAGAACTGGTGCTTTCTGGGTGAGTGATGTACACATGCTGTGATTTTGTTCTGGTCCACTGTTGATGATTGTTGACTCTAGGGCCTTAGGCGGGGTATTTTATAGGATGAGATTTTCCCCTGGTAATAATTTCCCTTGTCTTTGTCATTATGTAACTATCTCATTAGTTTTAGCTGGGTTTAGTCACAGGTTTTCCAGTCTATAAACATTTTGTTGGGTGGCCTCTTTCCATGTTCCCTGCCTGTTCTAGTGTGATGCTACAAGAAGACAGCTACCTATAAATGAAGAGGAGGTCCCTCCCTAGATGCCAGGTGTGTGGGTGCCTTGATGCTGGAGCAAACTGTGGGAAGTGAATGTTGTGTGTAACCATCTTAGTTGGAGGTAACGTGTTACAGAGGAGCAAATGAGTAAAGGCCTTTCAGGCCCTGTTCACATGTGATTCCCACATGCTAAGTCCTCTCATTGAATCCATTAAGTCTTGTTTTCCCAATTTCAAGTCTGCTCACTGACAGCCCATTTGAGATGCCTTCCATGGCCTCTGTCCTTCCAGCTCTTTGCTCATTGCTGTACTCCCAATAGAGAACATGGGAGGCATGTGCAGTGTAGGGACCAGCCTGGTCAGTTAGTGTTTGTGGAATGAACAGATGGATGGCTAAGTTTCTTCTGGTTCTTCAATTGTATGATTAAAGCAATATTTTGAGAATTTCCTG